GCTACTTTGTCTAGAGCTTATAACAAGGTTTATAATGGTAAATCTAGACATATTAGCTTGAGACATGAATGTGTTAAGCAATTAATAACGGATGGTGTTATTAATATTGTTTATGTTAGGAGAAACAAGAACCTAGCGGATCCTTTGACAAAAGGTCTTTCAAGAGACTTAATCAAAGAAACATCTAGTGGAATGGGACTGAAACCTTTCTTTGAAAGAGTCACCAATGATGGTAACCCAACTATGTAATAGTTGTACCGCTATTCCATAGTTAAATGGGTAAGAACAAATTATTGTTATGTGACCGGGTTAGCACCGAACTTTAATTAGTCCCTTCCAGGATATCGGTGCAAAAATAGCTACGTGGTTGAGGTTGAGTTTTAACTCTTAATGATGTTCGAGTCTCTTAGTAGCTAGAGATATAATTCGAACTTCACCTAAGTGAACATGAGGAATGGTGCCGTTCCTAACAAGACCTTGGTTTAGTCTTGTAAATGTTCATGTATCCAAGATAGAGCACAAGGCCGGAATAGTACTAAACGATTGGAACAGTTTTGAAATCTAGGATAACACATATGTGATATAATTCTGGTATTTGCTTAAGAGACAAAGTTTAATGCAAAGCACACTATTGTCTTGTGACATCTAATTTATTTTCTATATTTGTCTCCTTCAAAGTAAACTATTTAGTTTTCCATATTTCTCATTAATGCACATATGTTAATGTTCAAGTTGAGATATGTTGATGAATGTACATCTTTCCAAGATTAATCTAGTGGGGGATTGTTAGAGAGATTGTAATATATCTCTCAATCTTGATATCACAAAATTGGATTAAAACACATTCGGGAAGAGTGGGCTGACGCAAGCACGCGCTGCAGCGCGAAGGAGTGCGCGTTGCAGCGCGTTTGGGCGCTGCAGCCTGCACAAAACAGACCTCTCGGGTCTGTTTTGCTAGGCCCGCGCGCTGCAGCGCGCATTTGGGCGCTGCAGCCTGCGCAAAATATACCTCCCGGGTCTGTTTTTGCTAAGCCCGCGCGCTGCAGCGCGCCTCTTGGGCGCTGCAGCGCAAATCATCAACGGAAAATGTGTTCGTGTGTTTTAGTGATCTGAAAAGGTCTCGAACTATTGCATCTATTTGTGATATATTTTCTCACATATCTGAGTACTTATTAACAATAGAAATAACTATTGTTATAAGTGCATCAGCATATAAAAGATAACCATCAAATTGAAAAGGTATCTTTATGTGAAAGGTTGTAACACTTAAAGAGGATGGATGCATCCATGTCTTTATATGATGGACTTCAGAAAATACAGATTAAATTTTGTTCTGGAACTCAATATTTTTGCTGGATATTGTGTTCAAGGGTTTGTTGTATCTTGGGGGTAATTTGCCATTTAGAACTCGTTAGCAAACTTTGAGAAGTGAGGGCAAATAAAACCTTAAAGGAAAGTATTCCTATATGCCTCAAACCCTCTTTCTGCTTTCTCTATTCTTTTCATCCTCCCAATTCCGAATTTTTTCAACATTTAATTCTAAGAGTTTTTTACTGTAATAAAATTCAAATCGGTAAAATAAACGGGACCTTAAATTCTACACATTTCTAGCATGCATTTGCATGTCAAAGTATTTTCAAACTTTGAGTTCTTTGAAATTCATGCAAAGGCTATAACATAGGTTGACTTTTTTTTTTAATTACTTATTTCAGTTTGTAATAGAGGCTAAAGAGATTAGTTTGTACCAAAATCCTCAACAGTCAAAATAGTTCGTCTTGTCTTCTCATTCTCTTTCCTTCCCAAAAACAACTTTAATTTTTTAAATTGTGCGGCAATCACCTTGAAGTATAATTAATAAAACTTTTATAATACCCATAATACCTCTGAAATTAATACTTATATAATTACAGTTTATCAAACACTCAGCTGTTTTTTGTAACAGCTGCCTTTTTTTTAGCACAACTAACCACAATTTTTCTAAAATCTAGAACACTACCAAATTGGTCATGGTCCTAACTCAAACTGGTATTAACAATCAATGATGAAGGCATGTCTTAAGGAGGTTGTAGTCAGGAGAGCTTATTAGCCCATGACAAAGCATGTGAAAAGCTCTTCTTGCTTACATTGAGAAAACATTGCATGTGAAACATAAATGTTTGTGATATTTCAACCCAAAAAAAAAGTTAAATGTTTTTGATATCCCTTCACCTACCCGAGAGCCCAAGCTCATTATTCTCACCATTCCCTCCCATTATTGGTTTCCTATGCCCACATCAGAACAATGCAATCACCGAACCAATCATAAATACAAGATTTTGAAAATACATATGTAAGAATTTGAAAAAAGAAGTCAACCAATCCTACATGTAAATTTCCTGAACCCAATATTCTCTAGTTACGTTATTGATTTGTGACATAATATAAATGATAATATTGAATTGATCTCCGGTGATTCAAGCTAGTATGGTTGTATCAACAGTGATACCTCGACTACTCAACAGAGATACTATATTATGAAATGAGAGAATAATGCTATGGACATTAACATTAATTTTAATTTTCTTTTATAAAAAATCCGATTAATCATTCATTTGGTAGTAGTTGTTAAAAAAAAAGTCGCATAATTTGATATAAAAACTACATTTGCCAATATTTATATATGATAACTCAAAATTGGTACACAGAATTAGGATTAGAATTAGTGTCCCTAATACTATCCATTACAATATTAATGTTCCTTTTTTCTTGAAGTAATAATTGTGTGTTTTCTTTTTATTTTTGATTAAGTTTATTGTTTGTTCTTGGTTTGTTGAAATTAAAGTTAAATTTATTCCAACCCAATATATATGGAAATAAGTAGAAAGTTAAACACATTTAAAAGAAAAGGGTACTTTGCATATTTGTCCTCCTGAATTTGTGGGGTTTTAACAATTCTCACTAAACTTCTCATTTTGATAATTTGTCTCTCTAATTTGTAAAATTATTACAGTGTGTACATTTTATCAATTTTGCTCTTATTTTTTGTCAGATTTAAGAACTTGAGAGTTAGGGAATTGAGATATTTGTGTTACAATTTAAATTATAATATAACAATTTTCATTAATGGTGTCTTATCATCACTAATTTAACACAATCATAATTAAAATATGATACATTGTAACAATTTTGCGAGTCGGGAGAGAGTAAATTACCATAATTAAAAGTTCAGAAAACAAAATGTTAAAACCTTACAAGTTCATAAGGCAAAAGTGTAAAATACCCTTAAAAACACAATTGAAGTTTTATTCACAATGTGCTCATAACATTCATCAGTCTTTTTTAACTTTTGGATAATTATTTCCAGTTTCGTGATAATAATTCTTCTTATCAGTTGAAATGTTAAAACTCCACGATATCCAAGAACTTTGAAACTCTTTCCACACATAACTTTGGGTGCGTTTGGAATTATTTTTGTAAACGTTTCTGGACGTCTTTTGAGACACGAAAATGAAAACAATCTACAAATCACGTTTGTTTAATAAAAGTTTTGAAAACGAAAACGAAAATAAAAAACAATGAGAATGATTTTTGTGAAGAAAGTAAAAAACGATTGAAAGATGTTTTTCCTTTTCCGTTTTCATTTTTTAGTACTTATCAACAAAGTTATATTAAATAATTAATTATTAATTTCTAATTAAATAATTAATTATTAATTTCTAATTAAATAATTAATATCAATTACTAATATTAATAAATAGATATGCTTAATAACTAATAAATAGATAGTAATTACTTAATTATTAATTAAATATTAATTTATTAGTATTAAGTTTTAAATTTTATTAATAAATAATAAATAATATAGTAATTAATTATTTAGTTAAAGATTAATTACCAAAAATTAATTATATAGCATATTAACAATAAAACAAGTAATAATAGGTTATTAAATAAATAATTAATAATTAATATATCAATCATATATTATGTTAATTGTAATCTATTAATTAGTAAATTGTTGGTAAATAAAAAATAAATAGTAATTACTCAATTAATAATAAATATTAAATTATAATTACCAATATGTAAAAATTATGTATATACTAATTATTTTTCTTAATACACTAATTAATTACTTATAATCTAATAAATATGAGTACATTACTAACATAGTAATTACTTATAATTAATTACTAATTACTATTTTTTAATTATTTAACATATTATTTTATTATATATATCGTTTAATTATTAATGTACTCATTAATGATAATTTATCTATTATTATATTATTAATATATTAATTTTTATTTACTAAATAATTATCAATTATTAATTACTTAATATATTAATTTAAGATTATTAATTATATGTACTCAAAATAAACATAAATGTAACCAAATATGATTTTATATTTTTATCATACTCAAATCAATCTTTTAAAAGACAACTAAATATAATTTCAAAATCGGTTTCAGAATGATTTTCAAAACAATCTCATTTTTATTTTGGGAGAAAGAGGAAAACAGGCCAAGACTTGAGATGAATTAAAATTAATAGGCCAATAGTTTATATAAGTTAATAAATAGGCCAAATTACTGTTTTTGTCCATAACTTGTCTGATTATGAACCATAACTTGGCAAGTTATTGTCCATAATTCATAATTTTTGTCCATAACTTGTCTGACAATGAACCATAACTTGACAAGTTTGTTATAACTTATCTGGTTATGAATCATAACTTGACAAGTTATGACCTATTAATTTCTATAACTAAAAATTAGCATATATACTTTCTTAAGCTTTTCATATTGACCTATTTTTTACTATTTTCCTTTTATTTTTATACCAAAAATAAAATCATTTTAAAAACATTACCAAACAGGCTAAAAACATTACCAAACAGGCCTTTCTTTTCTGCGGAAAAACAATTTTCCCCTACGAGCTTGTAAATTATAACCACCTTTCTAATCTTTTTTTTTCTTTTCCCTTTTCTTTAATGCGTGTTATTTATCGTGGAATGTATCACACGGAATCGACGTTGCCGACGACTAATACCACAATAACTTGAATGAAAGCTTCCGACTTGTAATATCTATTATTCCCCTTAAGAACCACTTTCCCAATAAGTTCGACTGACATTATAAAGAAGCATTATAGCTGAACGTGGAAAGAAATGAAAACATTTCCAAGGGAATCGCAAGCGAGCTGAATTATAAAGAATCATTAGGCTCAATGTTTGAAAGTAGGAAAATGCGAAGCCTTTCATTTACTAAAATATTCTGTTTTCTTTCAATCTATAGAGAGAGAGAGAGAATCATCACTACCTTGACTTGACTAGATGACTTTCAAACAAGTTTCGTGCACCTTCTTGTGCAGTTGCTCTATCTCAAGTTTCAGAGAACTTGGGCAGATCATCTGATTGAGAAGTTTAACATCTCCATTAACATGACATAGAACTACTGCCAGGTAACTCCCTGTCCACCGGCCATGGCACGAGCCTCAGCAAGAGAGAGGGCCATAGCCAGCATCATTTGCTCCTCAAAGCTCTCGGGAACAATGGGCTCCGGAACATTTTGAAGGTTGCCCTCAATTTGATTGGGCGGCGGTAATGCCGACATGCTGCCAGCATCTTCTGCTGCATCAGAGCTTGCGTAGCTGGTCCCTGCTTCAGCCACCTCTGATCCATGATCAATATTCCATTCTCTGTCATCCCTAGGCAGAGCCATTGCGCATTTGGGTGATACGGCAGTGGAGTTCACTGCAGGTGGATAAGTTTCAGCGTCTCTGTCTGCTCTGTTGTAGAACCTGCTAGCGCCTGGAACCATATTGAATGCTGACCCATTACCTCCGGGGTTAGTGGAGGATTCTCCACCCATTTGCTGGCGCTCCGCCAGGGCAGCTATTGCGCAAGCAAGACCCCCGGATGGTGATGATGAAGATGATGATCCCGCAACTGGAGCCAATGACGGTGAGACATAGCAATCTTCTGTAACATATTGTCCTGATGAAGGGGCGTCGACAATATTTGATGTTTTATTTCTGCCACTCTCCTGCAAATATCATTTATGTGCAGTGAAGGAGTTCAGACATGCAAAATATGAGACCTTCCAAATTTAGGAAATAAAATATTGAACATTGAGATTAAACAAAAATTCTGAATATACACCTGTAGATAACAGGCTGCTTTATGAACTACGAAGATTTCACATAAACTTTTCTTTTTTTTCCTTTTTTTTTTTTGTGGGGGAGTTGAAAAGCATGCATCACTGTGTGAATACCACTGTAAATATTCTAAACCTTAGGGAAGAGGAGGGGGGATGGCAAAGAAAAGAAAACAAGGGGGAGTTGAAAAGCATGCATCACTGTGTGAATACCACTGTAAATATTCTAAACCTTAGGTGGTGGTGGGGGGGTTCAAAGAAAAGAAACAAAGAACGCATCAGTTTGACAGATCAGAACTTCTCAGTTCTACCTGAATGGAAAGCCATATTGCCTCAATGACCATTATATCCTCGAGATCCAGATCAAATTCATCCTCCCTGCAAGTTCAGAATTCAATAAATGATTAAAAATAATCACGGCAGAGTTGGTCATTTATGCACTATCTGGGACCAAAAGCTGCAATAAATGCGTAACAGATAGATGCACAAGCATGCGTTACATATTTGTTAAATAGTTTATCCAGTCCACAATCATGCCAAAATTATTTTTAAAGATCTTACCACTGAACAGACCAATAACATTTTGATTATACTTTTCAGCCAAAAAAGAAAAAAAGAAGAAGAAAGAATAACATTCTGAGAAATATATCTTCGAAAGCCAAACCATTACTGATAAACTAGAATAAAAGAGCATAAGTAGAAACTAAATATCATATCTCAAATCCAAGTTGATGAAAGAAAAGCAAGGAAAAACAGAAACCTGTGCGCCCTCAATGGCGGAGGTGGTCTGAACATTGATGCAGAATAGGAGTCTTGAGAAGAAACGATTTCATCACGCACAACGGGAGATGTAGACGATGGAACTTCTAAAAAGAACAAACAACTAATCACCATTTCTGACCAAATCTAACATTTACAAAAACATAGCAGACACAGTCCTAATGAAAGGATACCATTTACTGTGTTGTCTTCCACCTCAGCTGGTTCAACGTTTCTCCTTCCAGAATCCAATTCTTGTCTTTTCTGCATTCTTTCTTCTTCATCCTGGAGTTCTTGCTGCCGCATCCTAATTTTAGCTTCTATTACTCGTTGTTCTTCCTGCAAATTTTTTATGAAATGGGGACAACATTTAGTATCTAGTTTGCAACAATTCAGAAGAGCAATCCAAAATTTCAAACAAAGGATAAGACTAATTAAAACCAGAGTATTCTTACTATTTGCTCAAGGCCCTTCTCTTCCTTTGTTTTCACACCCCGATATTCCACGGCATAATTAGAGGTTTTACAGAAGGGACATCTAATATAGTTAAGCGGGACAAACACAGAAATGATAAACCAAAGAAGGGAAGCAAAACAGCTATCAAACTCTCATTTTTAAGATTATATGAAAACTTTGAAGGCATGTATAAAAAGCGAAGGATACTGTGTGGGACGGGTAGAGTTTGGAACCTTCATCTGCAGAAAACACTCTAGGGAAACAAAAACAAAAATAAAAACCATCAACTTGCATGCATTCTATAAAATAACAGCATTCATAAATTTTAAGGTATATTGTTAATGACTTCTATACCTGTACAAATTCCTTTCATGCAACATCTTGATCTGTTGAGACTTGGATAATACTAAACAAGAAGGAAAAAAGCAATATGTAATATTCAATGGCATTAACAGAAAATATGAAATTTACTCAAATGAACCCTAGCATACTAATTCATAAATTTGGCTCTCCTGGATTCTTCTGTGAATATTTTTGAGAAAAAAAAAAGGAAATTAAAGAAATGAATTGAAGTAACTAGTATGTGTGCCTATGTAAGAAAGAAAAACTAAAAACAGGTTTGTAATAGAAGCCAAACCAGAAAGCAAATTGGGCATTCCTCAAGATCACAGGTGCATTCTTCATCTCCAGGATAGCATGGAGCAAGCTTAGACTCAAGTATGAGCTTCCTGAGCTTCTTATGATCCACATCTTTATGGTGATAAAGTCCCTGAGGCCTTGTGTACTTCTCATCAATTACCTGCCTTCTCCTTCCAAGCTTATTACCCATCAAATGTGAAATTCTCACTTCTTTTGATTCGCGTTATTTATGCTTCAAATTAGCGAAGTCAAAACAACCACGCTAAAAGCAATAAAACCCAGATCTCCCGCAATTATCAATCTCTACTAAACAAAAGAAAAGCTTTTCAACACACTTGAATTATTTGACAACATACTAAGCAAACAACAGTGACATCATATATTGTTGGAGTTGGCGACCCTAAAGTTATTTTACATCATAATTGCTCATTTACAAGTAGTTTCATCTGAAGCAGAACAACATCCAAGATATCCTGCCAATCATTAAAAACAAATCAGCAATTCAATATAAAGATAGTCTAGAAAGCTATTCCCAAAGAGACAATCAAGTTTGCAAATGAGAATTCTCAAAGTCTTGCACCTACGTTTGTTCTAAAACAGAATACCCATATTAAAACTTGTAAATTCAGTTCAACCAAAACACATACAGCAACAATCATTTTCAACATGACACATAAAGCAAACAAGCAATAAAAGGTCTTTATCAATCCAAATACCGATGCACTTTCCAAGAGAAACATAAGAAACAATAAATTGAAACCAAGCATAATGAAGCCTACCAAATTACCCTAACATCTTTGCTATAACACTCCAAGCGTGAGGCTCAATTGGCAACAACTTGCTGCCGAAAATAACTGTCAGAACTACGCAAACAGAGACAAAATCCACAAAATTGCACCATAATTCCAGAATTCACTTCAGGATTCTCGTTCCAAGAAAAACCAAAGAGAGCAAGAAACGAAGCAAAAGAACCATAACTTCATTGTAATTCTATGCAAGCAAAGAAGCTTTAGAAACGAAAATCAACCGAGAGAGACAATGCCAAGAACCCTAATTTCCACGACAAGACTTCAATTCGCAACAATCCAAAGCCAACGCCACCGCCGAAATCACCAAAAAAAAAAAAAAAGAAGCAAAGAAGCAACAAAATTGAACCTTAATTCCGAATTCACCATCGCCGCCGAACTCCAAACCTCAAGAACAAAGAAAATTACGCGAGCAAAGCTTCGCAACAAGCAGAGACTTTCCAGTCCAGAGATAACGAAGCAATCAGTAAGCAAAATTGGAAGTGAAATGAAAGACAAACCTCGTTTTCTCTCGCCGGCGAAGAAAGGCTCCAATTCAACAGACGCGGAGAGAAGAAGTGACAACCACCATGGGAAGTCTCTCTCACTAAGAGAGAAACGGAGAGATGAGAAAGAGAGAGAGAGAGTTTTCTCTCTTGGTTTCCTGTTTTTATACAATCTTAAAAAATTGGTTTTCTTGTTTATGTATGTTTTTTGTCTGTACTTCGGAGTCCGTGCTCTTGCGACGGAAAGATTTAGAGAGAGAGAGAGAGAAAGAGAAAGAGAGGAGAGAGAAAGAACTGAAGGAAGGAAGGAAGGGAAGTTGGGGGGGGACGGTGGAGTAGAGTAGTAGACGAGGAAAGAATCATCAAAGGTGAAAGGAGGAGGAGCCGACCGGGCTTCTTCTCGTCACTCCTTTGCTTTTCCAAGCACGCGCCTTTTTTACTCGCGTTCACCTCAATCGCGCGCTAATTTCATCTTTTTACTTTCTTTTTTAAAATAATTTTTTCTTTTTCACTTTTTAATGCTTGCTTCATTATTATTGCTAATAACATAAACAAATTTTTTAATTTCTATTTTTCCACAATATACCCTTCTATTTTAAGGAATTATAATAGTTTCATTTAGATTTGAAAATTTTGTTTCAATTTTATCTCTGGTACACTTTGTAAACACAAAACAAGAAGAAAAAACACAAAGATATCTTTAGTTCGATTGAATTTATTTCTAGAAATATTTTTTCTCTAGAAAAATTGGTGAAATTTATTTTAAACATTTAGAAAACACATAATGCTAAATCTTTTTTTTAACTTCTAAGGGGTTTTTTATGTTTTAAAATGTTTAAAATGATTTTAGAAAAGATTTTTATATCTTTTCAAATTTTTTTCACAAAGTGTGTTTGGAATAAAATTGAAATAAGTTTTTGGATTCAAATGATACTTTTGTTATTTTTAAAAACATATGGATAAATTGAGAAAATATCAAAAGTAGTAGATATGTTTATGTAATTGATATTTTTTTATAGTCGGTAATTATTGCTATTGGTGAGTATTTGATTGAAGTTAATTTTTTTTCCCCTAAAACATGACATTTATAAGCCCCATTAATTTAATCCCTAATTCTTGCTGTTGGCGTGATACAAATATCGTCCTTCTCAATTCTTGGAGTGGCATGAAAGAAATCTTTGAATAATCGGGGGTTGAAACGTAAAGCTTACACTTTAACCTGTTTATTTTAATTTTATTTTCTCTCTGTTTTTTTATGTCTAAAGAAATAAGAATAAAAAGTTTACTTGAAGTTCATTTTTCCCTAAAAGAAATATGTTTGTTTTAGCAATAGAACTTGAATTTGAACTCAAGTATAACTCAAATAATTTAAGTTGTGTATGTGGAAAAAAAATATTATAGTAAAAAAATTGAATTTGAATTTTTGTAAGAAAAAACATTATAATAATACAACTTGAATTGTGATTTGAGTTGTTGCAAGAACAAGCTATTTGAATTGAATCTTTATATTCATTTTCCCTCTTGTAACTCAAAATCTTTTTGTAATTTGTTATTACCTTAATATTGGGATATATTTGTATATTTTATTTGAATTCCATAACATATAATGTATTATTAATGACTCCCTAATTCTAAGGTTTTATGCTGCTACATTGACGTTTTGAATTTAGAAATGGTCTGAAATAAATTTTTTAATAGTCAAAGGTTGAAACATGAAGTGTGTGTTTGACATTATTTTTGAAAACAATTTTTACGTATTTTGAGAAGTAAAAAATATAAAAGAAAAGAAAACGACGTTTGTTTAGCAAATGTTTTGAAAATGAAAATGAAAACGAAACAGTGAAAACGATTTTTGTGAAGAAATTAGAAAACAGCTGAAAGTTATTTTCACTTTTCTGTTTTCATTTTTTAGTATTTATTAACAATATTATAATATATTAATTAATAAACACGATTTCACTTTTTTTATACTAAAAACAATCTTCAACCAAACGTAATTTCAATTTCAATCTCAGAATGATTCTCAAAATAATCTCATTTTGCTTTTTATTAAAAATAAAATCATTTTACAACTAATTCTAAATGTACCCGAAGGTTCTACAGTGAAGACGTTGTTTTAATTTTTTGAATCTTCTTCATTTTCTTCAACACAGAATAGCAGTATTTAATATAGTAGTTTACTTTTGCTAATTGAATATGGTTGTTTGGTTGGTGGATTCGTATCCTAATTTGAATCATGGTCATGGTTCGCTACAGTATTTTCTCTCATAAAAAATACGCGTAAATTGAGAATAATTGTGAATCATGATTCTGAATTTCTGAACCAAACATCCAAAATTATATGTTGGCGACATTAATCATATTGAGGATAGAGGAGTTATAAGCGTTCTACATTTTAAAATTTTCTATTAATTCTGACATTCCAACTTATTAAATTTTAAAAGATGAAATGGCCGTTCAAATCCACCAAGAGTTAGGTCGTAAATTTTTTCCTTTTCCTGGAATATGATAGAAAAATATAATTTGAGAGAAATCCAAAAAAAAAAAATCATTCAAGAGATTAACATTTTTATATTTATACTACTCAAAGACATAAATTTAACATTTATTATGCCAACCATTTAGGGACGAAGCCAATGAAGACTTTAAAGCCTCCTCTCAACTTTTGTTTTTTAAGTTCATGTATACATCAATATTATATATAACCACTAAAAGATTAAAAAGCCTCCTTCAATTTTTGTTTTTTAAGCTTATATTTATATATAGCCCTCAAAATATTAGAAACTCGATTCCATTTTGTAAAAGATTGAAAATAACATCATTTTAAATCAAAATTCAACTAAAAAGCACAACAACAATCATGTACTCATATGACTCTTTCAATAATACTTTTACAATTGATTTTGAGAGTAAGATATTTAGGGCTTGTTCATTTACATTTTTTAAGTTATGATAATTTGAGTTAAGGTGTATTTGAGTATGGTTTAAGTTGTGACTCTAATTTGAGTATGGTTTGAGTTGAGACTCTAATTTGAGTTTGTGTTTGGATGTGCACATTTTGAGTTATGGTTTGAATTGAGGATCGATTTGAGTTTGAGCTTGTTCATTTGCATTTTTTGAGTTAAAGTGACTTTAGTTCATATCTTGATTTGAGTTAAGGTGTATTTGAGTATGGTTTAAGTTGAGACTCTAATTTGAGTTTGTGTTTGAATGTGCATATTTTAAGTAATAGTTTGAATTGAGAATCTATTTGAGTTTGTGTTTAGGTGGGTCAAAACTTGAATTTGTATTTGAATAGTATTTTAATAAAAACTCAATCGTGATGGAAAATTTTAATAGGGTATATGAGTGAGATTTTTTCATCTCTTCGTTGTGAACGCATAGAATAAAAAATCATCTTAATCGGAATTAAAATGAAAAAATTATGGCGTTTTTAATAATAGAAAAAATATTGTTCATTAACTTGAGTTTGAGTTTAAGAACTTGAGTTGAAGGAGGAACTTGAACTCAGATTTTAGTCCCAAACTCAAGTTCAAACTCAAATTTTACAAAAGAACATGAACTTGAATAAAGTTGTAACTTGAGTTTAAAATTTTTGAGTTTGAGGGCAAATGAACAAGCCCTTTGTGTTTGGGTGAGTTAAAACTTGAATTTATATTTAGATAGTATTTTAATAAAAACTCAATGGTGATGAAAAATTTTAATAGGGTATATGGGTGAAGTTTTATTCATCTATTCGTTGTGAACGCATAGAAAAAAATCATCTTAATCGGGCTTGTTTGTTTACACCCAAACTCTAAAAAATTTTGAACTCAAGTTATAACTTTATTTAAGTTCATGTTATTTTATAAAATTTGAGTTTGAACTTGAATTTTAACTTAAGTTTAGGGTTAAAATCAAGTTCAAATTTCTTCTTCAACTCAAGTTAATGAATAATATTTTTTTCTATTCTTAAAAATGTTATAGGCCTGTTTGTTTCCGTTTTTGTTTTCATTTTTCACCTTTTTTTAGGATAAAAAATGAAAACGTGTAAACAAAACGTGTTTGGTGCAAAATTTTCTAAAAATTAAAAACAAAAACGTTTTTGTCCTTTTCTGAAAATCTGAAAATGGATGAAATCCGTTTTCATTTTTTCCTTTTCATTTTCTCCCTATGTTCTTCAATCTCTTCTCCGACTGCCCTCTTCTCTCTCTATCTCATTCTCTCTCCCCCTCTCTCTCCTCAACCTCGTTTCTCTCTCTAGCTTTTGCCTCTTCCTCTTCTCTCTCCTCTCTCTGCGTTCGCGACTGGCGGCCATAGCCGAATCTCGCCGGAGCATCTTTTTCTTCCCAGATTTCTCTCTCTTCTATCTGCTCTTCTCATCTCACGTCTCTCTCTCCCCTCTCTACGTCTCCTTCTCTCTTCGCCGCTCTCTCTCACCTGCTCCGATTCACTCTGTCTCCTACTCAGGTGCCGCTCTCTCTCTCTCGTACCCTGCGCGCCTCTCTCTCTCTTTCTCTCCACACCATCGCGACGAATCTCCAAAGCTTTTTTTTTTCCCTTTTTTTGAGCTTGAATTTGGTTCTGATTTTGCACTCAGTTGTAATTTTCTGGTTTTAGATGGGGAAAAAAATGACCGAGTCCGAGCCCTTACGAGCCCCACCCCCGCGCGACTCATCTCCGGCGAGTCCAGATCTGTAGCCACCGATCCCACCCGCGCGACGCACCTCCTGAACTCAGAATTTGATTTTGAGATATTAATCTGTTTGGTTTCATTGAATAACTATAAATGTTTGGTTTTGATATGTGATTTTAATTTTAATTTTGGTAGCTCTGGGTTTTTGATGAAGGGGAAGAAGCTGTTTGATTATTGTGATAGACATAACACCTCCATCTCTCTCTTTGTGAACTGTGAAGCCATGGCTGCTACAAAAATGGTTTCTCTGGCCACCATTATCGATCAACCAAAGACCTCTTTTTCTTCTAAAACCCTTCAACGCCTTTTCCCAACTTTCCCCTCAAGGCCTTCCTCCCCATCACGTATTTTCCCAAACCTTTCCGATTTGTTTGGTTATTGGTTTTAAGTTTTTTTTTTTTTTTCAATTTTTAAAAGTTTTAAATATTATTATTATTATTTTTAAAATTTTAATTAAATATATAGAAGTATATAAATGACATTTCACATTTAAAAAGAAGTATACATATTTTCAAAAATTAAACTACCAAACGCAGTTTCAGTTTTAAAAAAACTGAAATCAATATTTGAATAAAACTACCAAACACATTTTTAGAAATAATTTCAAAATGAAAATGAAAACGTTTTCATTTCCATTTTCATACAGAAAACAAAATTATTTTGGAAGCAATTCTAAACGCACCCTATAACTTTTTCGTTTTAATTCCGATTGAGATAAATTTTTTTGTATGTGTTCACAACGAAGAGACGAATAAAACCCCACCCATATATTCTATTAAAATTTTCCATCATCATTGAGTATTTATTAAAATGCTATCTAAAAATAAGCTCAAGTTTTGACCCACTCTAACACAAACTCAAAAAGATTCTCATCTTAAACCATAATTCAAATGTACACAATCAAACACAAACTTAACTTATAACTTCAACTTAAGTTATAACTCAAATTTAACTCATATCTATACTTAAATTACTATAACTTAAAAATGTAACTGAACAAGCCTTCAGATTTTAGTCTCAAACTCAAGTTAAAACTCAAATTTTATAAAAGAACACGAACTTGAATAAAGTGGCCCGTCCACTTCGCTGATTCGAGTTTGTAATTCGAGTTGAGATGTGATTTTGTGTGAGAGCTTTTTACTGTAGCAAAAAAGTTAGATGTGACTGTTTCTGAGAGCTTTTTACTGTAGTAAAACTCGAATTCTAAACTCGAATCGGCGAAATGAACGGGGCCGTAATTTAAATTTAACTTTTTTTAAGTTTAGGTGTAAATGAAGCATTCCTAACAACAATTTCTAATTTTGTCACTGCATCCATTCATAAAAAAATATCCTAATAAGACAATTAATATTTTTTTTTCTTCTCATAAAAATGGTATGATATTTTTTGAAAGTATTCTGGTAAATTATCCATTCATCAAAAAATATCCTGATAAGACAATTTTTTTTCTTCTCATAAAAATGGTATGATATTTTCTGAAAGTATTCTGGTAAATTATTTTTTATGTTCTATTATCTTTTAAAATCAACAAAAAATTATATAAATATGGGACTGTTGGATTTTACAAGTATGTTTACGTAATTTTCTCATATAATTCACAAGTTGTTTTTTTTTTTTTTTTAAAAGGCAGAAGGCAATAGAGTAGTGCTGTTGACGCTCCACGAAATTGAGTAGGCAAATCATACCTAGCATTTCTATAAAGCAAGTTGGACTGGCCCATGAAATGGTTGCCTATGTCAAGATCTGTATGTACATGATCTACAAAATCAAGCCGTCTAATTGGTTGACCAAATTCTTTGTCCCTAGAATCATGTCTTAGCCTTACATGTGCATATTAAAAAAATAAAAATAAAATAAAATCTCTCTAATTTTTCAACTTACTGTCGATAATCCAACAGTTCACGTGCCTGTGAGAAAGATTAACAAGTCTTTTTTTTTTTTCATCCTTCAACAGCAGGGCTCTTCTAATCTAGTGAAAATTACACCAAAATATAAAAAAATTTTCATAATAGAAAGTTTTGATCCAAACATAACGGTTAAAAATAGAGAACCATTAATTGCTTATTTATTCAAGGCATAGCGTGAAAATCTCTCTTTTTTATTGATTTTGTTCTGTAACTATAAAGAATGTAAAATCGGTAGTGTTTGGTTTATCCAAATTTGTTATGGATGGTGTGACCATGAAACCTAACACAATAGTGTGATCTCTTCCAGCTACAGTACAAAAAAAATGATATCGATAAGCACGAGAAATGGCTGACTTTTTGAACTTAGTACTAATAGAACAATGTGTACACTGTACATAAACATAAAACACATACGTAATGTCGTCTATTATGAGATTTCCATCAAAATCATACACATGTGCTTTAATCATAGCCATCGGTAATGATTGGGTTTCAACACTCGCGCTAATAATGGTAGGAGCGCCAACAAATTAAAATCATGATAAGGAGAGTTTCAATGTCTGTCCCCTTTTTTTTTTTTTTTTTGGATTGATTTTAAAATTTCCCTCAAATTTTTGGGAGATGTGACAATATGCTCTTAGACTATTAAAATGTATCATTCATTATCTTGAACTTTCAAATTGTTTCAAAAAAAAACTCTTTCCATAAAAAGTACTCATGTCATGTATTAATGTCTATTTGATTCATAAGTTTAAATAGAAATTAAAATTTTATAAGAGAAAATATTATAATAAAAAGATTTCAACAATAGTGCGAATTTATAAAATAAACGCATGCACTGAGGTCCAATTTGAGATTGATTTTTGAACGTCTAAGATCAATCATTGAACAAATGTGGACCAAATACGTGTTTAGTAAAAGAATAAAAATAAAAAGCAATTGGCCAAATTTGAGCAGCTAAAAGGAGAAGCAACTGTTGGTTGTTTATCATTTTCAACTAACTGGTGTTGATGGCCGTTTTTGTACATGACTTATTTTCTAAATCTCAAATCCATGACAATCAATTGGTCTTATTTGTGAACCTAAGCCGTGTTCGGAAAACCTTTTTAGTTATAGTTTAGTGGTTCATGAGAAATAAATAAGGTTGCTCTCTCTTAACCAAACTTGGGGGGTTTTTTTTTTTTTTTTAATCTCACTTGAGGGTTTCAAAATTAAGGGATAAGGAGAGAAATAACATATTTAGTAGGATGTTTAGTAACTTATAGTATATATATTTTTTAAAATATTAGAATATAGCACACCTTGATATTTCAAGTTTTAAATATTATTAAAAACTAAAAAATACCCATAAGCCTACTTTCCACCTCTCTCTTTTTCTCCCTATAGTAAGTCCACCATGACCAACTCCAGCGACCGGCAGCCGGCTCCATAAACACTTGTTTTAAGTTTGGCATTTTAAAACCATATGAATACCAAAGAATAATTTCCCCATCCAGTTAAGTAACTGACGAGGTGTTTTTATATATATTTTGAGAAGTTAAAAGGGTGTTAATAAAACTATTTTTGATTGAGATGGTGTATTTGGCCCCATTCACTTTACAAGTTTGAATTGTGTGGTTTAAAACTTTTGGTTCAAATAAAAAATTTTGAATCTATTTAGGTTTACTTTGATTCATACTGTTGTTTAAGTACCAAATCAGAGAATAAAAATTACAATAATGTAGACTCCATTTGGTAAATAGGTTCAAAATGTATTGGTTTAAACTTTTTTTTTTGTTTAAAAATGAAAAGTTTGGAAATAAATGTATTTAACTTTTGGTTCAAATAATTGAAAACAAAAAGGGCAGATAAACACTTGTTTTAAGTTTTGGCATTTTAAAACCATCTAATATCAAAAAATGATTTTCCCACCCAGTCAAAATAATTGAGGAGGTGTCTTTATATATATCTTGAGAAGTTAAAAGGGCGCTAATTAAAATATTTTTAATTGAGATGGTATATTTGGTCCCTGTTCACTTTATTGGTTTAAATTTTGTGGTTTAAAATTTTTTGGATTTGAATCAAAAGTTTTGAATCTATTTAGGTTTACTTTGATTCACACTATTATTGGGAAGTTTAAAATTTAAATGAGAAATAAGGCATCAAACCAAAGAATAAAAATTAGAATAATGTAGACTCTATTTAGTAAATAGGTTCTAAATGTATTGGTTTGAACTTTTTTTAATTTAAAAATGAAAAGTTTGAAAATAAATGTATTTAACTTTTGGTTTAAATCATTAAACACAAAAGGGGCAGATAAACACTTATTTTAAGTTTTGACATTTTAAAACCATCTAAATATTAAAGAATGATTTCTATATCCAATCAAGTAACTAAGGATGCGTCTTTATATATATTTTGAGAAGTTAAAAAGGGCGTTAATAAAAATATTATTGGTTGAGATGGTGTCTTTTGCCCCGTTTACTTTTGAATTGTGTGGTTTAAATTTTTTTAAATTTGAACCAAAAATTTTAAATCTATTTAGGTTTACTTTGATTTATACTGTTGTTTAAAAGTGTAAAATTTAAATGAGAAATAAGCATCAAACTAGAGAATAAAAATTTGAACTGATATTTAGATATATTTAACTTTTGGGAAGTTTTAAAAATTTAAACTAAATAGTTTTGAATCTATTTAGGTTTACTTTGATTCATACTATTGTTTAAAAGTGTAAAATTTAAACGAGAAATAAAGCATCAAACTAGAGAATAAAAATTTGAACTGATATTTAGTTAGTGTAAAATTTATGGATAAATCAAAAATAGAGTAATGATTTTACTAGAAATATTGTAGCAAATAGGTCCAAAATGAGAGCATAAACATGAGTTAAGTTCTCATAAACGACAGGTCGTATGTGATACAAAAATAATGGCAAAAATGATGTCAGAAGTGGGATTTGAACCCACGCCCTCTCTCGAAGACCAGAACTTGAGTCTGGCGCCTTAGACCACTCGGCCATCCTGACAACTCTTGTTGCATTTCTTTACCCTATAAAGAATTATAATATATCATAAAGGTGTCTCGCAAAAAGACCTTTTCTTTTCCTCCTCGAAACTTTGAGAGCCTTTTCCCTCTTTGTCACGCCCTGGTCCAGGTTCGCTAAAATCAAAGAGAAACAAGCAACACAAATCGAACACTTTAAGCGAGTTCTCTATCTTCCCAGGATTTTGTTTTGTTTTGTTTTTTTTTTTTCTGGAGCTCTATCAGTAATATTTCTCTCCAAAAAAAAAAAACTTCTATGTTTACATTTTTTTTCTTTTTTTTGCTGAACATTTATTTGTTTTTTTAGTTACTACATAATTACAATATTTTGGTTTTCTTTGGTCCTCTTTTGGGTCTTTACCCAAATCCTTCCCGTAATATCTTTATCTCATCTTTCTTTTCAGCCATGAATCCGACGCCGTTTCAACCTTCTGCACCGCCTTCCTGGTTCCCCATGCTGTCGCCTGACCCGCCGATGTCGAGCTTCTTCTGGCAAACCGCAAACGTGCGCGATCGGCTGAAGGATTTACAAGACACTCTCACTCTTGCAAAAGCAATGTATGATTCCATTTGAATCTCATTTCTTGTTTGATTATTATCTGATTGTTGATTTTGGGTTTTAAGTATTGACAAAGCCAGATTATTTATTTATTTACTTATTTTTCAGTTGGGCATTAGTGAAAAAAATTGGAGACAACATTTTATTTAATGAAGAGCTAATTACATATTTGAGTTGTTGAATGGCGGAACAATTATGATGTGTCTTGTAAAATGAGAGCATAACAACATATTTCAACTATAAATTGAATCTCATTTCTTGTTTGATTATTATCTGATTGTTAAATGATTTTGGGTTTTAAGTAGTGACAAAGCCAGATTATTTATTTATTATTTTTCAGTTGGGCATTAGTGAAAAAATTGGAGACAACATTTTATTTAATGAAGAGCTAATTACATATTTGAGTTGTTGAATGGCGGAACAATTATGATGTGTCTTGTAAAATGAGAGCATAACAATATATTTCAACTATAAAAGTAGGGGTATTCAGCCCAAAGACAAAGGAAAAAAAAAACCCACTATCCAGTAGGGGCACCGTTATATATATATATGTATATATATATATATACATTGAATTCGCGGGTAGGGCTTTTAAACTCTACACCTTATGGTGGAATCAAATAGGAGCATAATTAAATATTTAAAAATTTAGGGGGAAATCAGAATTTTATAAATTGAGTGGGGGCAACTGCGCCACTCAGTATAGTTTGACTCCGCCACTGTTTATAAGTGATTATGATGGGATCATTTCTCTGGATAGGCAGGCAGAAAGAACTTGAGATGTTGATGCTGATGAAAGATAGTAAAGGATCTGTGGAAGATACAGATAATGGGTGTAATGATGCTTCTGTTAGCGGGTTCTCGAAACTCTTGGAAGACAGGGGGATCAATGTGGAATCCCAAACGTCACTTTCAGTGGAAGCGGCAAATTGTTTGATGTCCAAATTAAGGTTTCAGCTCGAACCATTTAGGGCTGTTACTGATGAAATGTGTCAGTGGGAGGAAAAATCTGTGGTGGTTCGATTAGCGAATAAGATACAAAAGTCGAAGAGAAATAAGCTTTGGAGGAAAAGGAAGAGGAAGCGCATTGCGGAGATGCGTGCAATGGTGGTTTTTAGTTGATTTTTGCTAACAAGCTATTGAGCGTTAGGTTTGTTTGTCTCTAATCTCTATTATTGATTGCATATTCTATTTTTGATGATCTTTAGGAGCGTGCAAAGTATGACCAAGCTGATCAAGAGGCTGATGAGTGGAGGGCCAGGGAGATTGCTAATGATCTTGCAAAACGCAAGGTATTGGAATATTCATTTTCATATTGTTAGTTATCTGATGATTGGTAAGATCACTTAAAATAATTTAATTTGTTTTATTTCGTGTCTTGTTTATGATTTTCAATGTTAGCAGCTAATATAAGCAGCTCAGTATTCGTCTCATTAGTTATATATTTCTATTAGCTAAGAAGCTTCAGTGCTGATATTATTTCCTTGGACAACTTTGACATGTGGATTTGCAGATGGAAAAGATGAAAGAGATTGCAAAGCTGAAAGCAAAAGAGGAGAGAAATAAACTAGAATCGGAGGTGAGCTTTGCTGAATTTCTGCTCAGGAGATTTTGGACCAGACTACTAAGCTTATTATTCTCGAATAACATCGTCTCCTGTTTCTCGTAATCTCAACGCAGCTTGAGCTGGTATTGATTGTGGAGAAATTGCAAGAGTTGCGTTCAATTAGGATTCATAAATTGAAAAAACAAGGTCTGTCATCTTCTTCTATCCAACTGCTACGTGTCTGTTCTTTCTTGTATGAATTGGGTGATAGGAAGTGTGTATTGTGAAAAAATCCTTATCCGAAAAAAGGAAACAAAAAAATAATAAAAGCTGCTTATCAAACATCATAATTGTGCAGGTCATTTTCTACCTGAGGAGGATGACAAGTTTCTTGAGAGGGTTCAAGCCGCAGTTGAGGAAGAGGAGCGCCAAGCAATTGCAGCAGTCGATACCGATTATGCAAAGGATGCCATTGCAACTGCTGAGGAGTCTAGGAAAACAACCTATAATCTTGTGCCCGACTCAGAAGATCTAAGCACTGATAGAGCCATAATTGCGGAAAATAACGTTCAGGATACTCCGAGCAAAAACGATGGGGACCCCAGTGCACCTGTGGAGAAGGAATCTGGGAAACAAGGGTTGGAGACACAAGTGCATAGTGGAGCTTATGATTCTGTTGCAAACTTACCAATTGAATTCTATCACTACTATCATGGCAGCAATAATGATATGGGCACCTTAATTGAGGTAATTCAAACTTCTAGACCTGAAAAAGGTTTATTGCTCATCTAAATCTATTTCGTGTAGTAGTTATGATGCTTGGTGGGTGTTAAGGCACTGGTACTGTCTGACGTACTGCATTTGTTAGTATTAGCATCGCTTTCATTTCGGTCTAGATCATAACGGCGAACATATTGCGTGCAGGTAAGAAGAACATGGGATGCCTACATTAGACCAGGAGGAAGGTGAAGACACCAATTTTCTTGCTATTCTCTTTTTATACGTTTTAACTCGCAGTTAATATTCGCTCTCTTTCTGTTGCGAAGTAAAAGGGGGAGAGAAAAGGGAAAGGGAACAACTGCCACAATTCTTTTGCTCATCACTTTGTTGAATGCATGCTCTCTCTCATTTTGTTTTTTCCTTAACCGGTTGCACAAGTTTTATCCTCTTGCTAAGTATAGATACTAACTAAAAAGCTTCAATTATTATAATGAAATGTGACATTCCAATTGCATGGGATCTGTGCAGCTGCATACCAGGGCACTGGGTTGAACCGCCGCCTCCTGCAAATGAGATATGGGCATCCTACTTAGTGAGGCCTAAATGATGGCTGACCACGTTTGTAATCTATGGCAGATCTTGCTAAAACTAAAAGAAAAGAGGTAATGTTGTCAACTCTTGTTTGGTAGGCATACTTTGTACTCGTGCCTATACACATTTTTATTTTACTTGTTTATTGCATGGTATCAAAATTATCATTAGATTGAATACTTTGGTACGAGGATTCAAACCAGGGTGATTCTAATCATGATTCTGGAACCAAAACCATGATTCATGATTTTGGGTTCAAATCATGATTCTTAAACCATGATTCAGAATCAGGGGTTTAAATCACCTTCAATCAAGGGGGGGGGGGGGTTTAAAATCATGATTTGAGCTAGTTTAAAACATCACATTAGATTTTGAATCATGATTCAGAATCATCCAAACCAAACACTGATTCTGAATCATGATTCAGAATCATTGTAAACAAACATTGATTTTGAAACCAGGATTCAGAATCATGATTCTGGATCCATCTACCAAACACACCCTTAGTCCATGCTGTAGATCACAAACTTTGTTTCATTTATTCCTTTTATTAGTAAACTGTGTTCTTAACTTTTAAATGCTCAAATCTTTGACTCCTACAGGCTACAACATGATAGTTAACATAGTGGCCAAAAGATAGCGCTTGGCCATGGACTGCGAGCTTGCGTTTCAAAACTCTGGTTATAGGACAAAGTGTGAATATGCATTTCTATGCTTAGAAGCAGCAAAGTCATCAAGCATTTGCACTGCTGCGCATACAAGTACACAACACAAGGAAGTCGACTGCCGCACCTCTTGGCCTTTGCAGTTTCTCTTCACATTAGCTGGTTTTGAAATTTTTCCATTTTCAATATTACCAATATCATTTCAGTACTAGATTAGATGTCAGTCCTCTGCCAATATATGTATGTATGTATCTTGTTCAGTTCAACCTTAATAGTTTGCTTCCTTTAGAAGTTACTCAGCATATTATTATTATTAAATAAACTCCCATTTCGTTGCCTTTCTGTAACTATGAATGCTCGACCTTTTTTGTATGGTAATATATTACTACCTGAATTTAATCCTTCTGTAAAGGTCTAATGGTCTGAAATATCCACTTCTGGTAAAGCGGTTTGCATGTGTGGTCATATCAGAGCTGTATCCACTGACCTTCGACGTACTTCAGCCTCCTCAGATGATTTCAGCGGTGAATATTGTAGTTAAATATTTTGGGATTTTCAGATGGAGAAAGGTTTTAACTTGCTAAAGAGCGCCTTCAAAGAGGCAAATATTGCTGATGAAAAGATGGCATGTATCCTTGTCAATTTTTTTTTTTTTTTTTTTTTTTTTTTTTTTTTTTTCCACTCTAGTCTTTCATATTGGCATTGTGTAATGTGTCTCCCTCTTTCCAGAGGTTGCTATTCTTTGACATTCGGAAGTTCTAACCAAACAATGGTACACTGGGGTTCTGGCACAGATTTGAATTGACGCATTTCGTATTGAGTTGGCGGGAGGACCGTATGAAGATCTTTCCTTAGCAGCTGCGGCTTCTGTGGAAGCTGAAGCTACTGTTGGAAACGCAGTTTACATGCTTCCGTCCTATAATCATGATTGTGGCAATTCCCTTCGCTTTTTTCCCCCTAGTATGTACTGGTTCCAATTGTTTGCACTTCTTCATAGAGTAAATTTCCATTTAGTAAGATCAGGATGCATATTCAGTTGGTTGTGGAATTACAACACAAATACTCAAATTTCAGTTTGTGTAGGGGATATTGAATAGGAGCTGTCTACAGTATGGTAGGTATTGTACCCAGTCCACATTAGATTTGGTCAGAATCACATCAACACAAAAAATCATACAAAATGACAATCTATAGATGATGGTCCAAAATAGAACCTTGAAGGAAGGGTTTTTTTTTTTTTTTTTTTTTTGGTAAAAAACTCGCATTAAATATGTTAGTCAAATCTTATTTGTCGGGGAAAAGAAAAAGAAATACTTGATTTACATCGTTGATTAGAAATAATGATTTACATGCTGTACATGAAGCAAAATAGAATGATGGACTGTTGCATCCACCCCTACTACCTGGGTAAATTGGGATCTACCTAATCCGTTTCTTCCTGAACATTTCTACCATAAATATCATCATGTCTCTGATTTAAACTAACGGAGTTTCTTTGGTAGAACCAAGAAAAAATGAACTCGGTAGTTTCATATTTTTTAACCGTCAGATCTATATAAAAAATTATCTGTTTTACATACTCTTTTAATCTGATATGATCTTGATCAGATTCAACAGTCAGAAAACTAATTCTACCGGTAAAACGGCATACCAGAGAAACTCACGAAAATGTCTTGTAGACTTGAGTTTACGGAATTGAAACGAAAGTTTTGAGACTTAGATAAAATGTCAACTTGAATTTTCCTTCTTTCTTTTTTTTTGTGCCGCACGCAACTATTTGGTAATTTTCAGAGAATGACAGAGATAATTCTACTATTAGATAAACAATTGAGCGAGTGACCAGCCAACTATAATGAAACAATGAATCCTCTTTCCACCATTTACTACGAAAGAGAGACTAATAATCCAATTTATTTTATAAAAAAAATTATACACTTAGATTTATTAATAATTAATAAAAGCAGATGATTAGAAGACTCATAATTATTTCAATTATTAAATTATTCAAGTTGGATGATTAAAAATTCATACATTTAAATTATTCTCACATATGAATTGAAACTTTTTTGTTTTCCTTTTTACTTTTTTGAGTAACTAAAACTCATCTAACATATATCTAATTTATTAGAGAATGAAAGATCAATATACACGCAGAACATTTGGGCTTTTATCAACTAATTTCAATTAAATAAGATGATTTTCGTGAAGGCTGCATTGATATTTTTCTTACAAAAATGTATTAGGAATTTTTTTCATCCTTTTATACTTAAATGTAATTTTAGCAAAGGTCATTTCTGATAATAAATTTTATTCAAATGCATGTATGGAGAAAATTCCTTTTAAGAAAAAATTCATAAACAAACAGAAGGTCTCCTTGATTTAAATTTTTTATTTAAATTTAGATGTAACTTTATATAAAATTTTTTAACTGTAATAATAATGTAATAATAAAATTAAATATGATTATTTTTAAAATTTTTTTATTATAATAAAAATTAAATTTTAAACTCAAATCGATAAAATAAATATTATAAAAACCTTCATTAAATTACAAGATTGCCTATAATTTGGTATCAAATTACGAGTATGAATGCTTTCCATTTAAATTTTAAGAATTTTAACTAAATTTAACTAAAGACTAACTTTGCGACATTTGAAGAATTTAAGGGTTAAATTAGAATACCTTTTTGGTACAGAGACGAATGATAAAAAGAGAAAAAAGTTCTCATAAATTTAATTTAATTTTTTTTGGCTGAAAGTTTGGCATTTGATTCATAAATTTAAACCATTTTTAATTTACGTATATTTTTTATAAGAAAAAATACTATAGTAAAATTAGAACTATAATTCGATTAGAACTATGATTACGGACATATGTTACCACCAGTCTCTGCTGGGTGTGTAAGTTAGCAGCAGTTTTAAAGTCGAGTATTATTATTATTTCATTCTCTCAAATTTTTCATGATTCTTTTCATTTGTCATTAAGGTATAAAGAGATCTCAAACTCTAGTAAAAGGGCAAACCCAGTTCATGCACACATTCAGCATTGAAGACCAAAATATAATTTCCTACCCTCAAGGAAATTATCATTAAATTGCAAAGAGAGAGCCAATAAAAAGAAATGTGTCTGACCACATTATTTCAAAAACAAAAGAAAAAAAAAAGAAATATCAAATGTGTGTGATAATAAAAATTGAGATGTAGCCAAGGGTTCCAGACGTTCCAGAAACAGAGAAATTCTAGACATCCTACGATTTGGCTAATTATTCTGCGAAGATTTGTATTGCTTAGACGTTAGAGAGGCCTCAATTCCAGAGTCCTTTACCCCTCCGCTGGGATCTTCGCTTAATAATTTCAAAATAAATAATAATTTCAAAGAAAAAAATGTTCGAAAATTCGATCGAAAAAGAACCGAAAACCATACAAAAACAAACTGAGATTCGGCGATCAGATTTCGACTCCATTTCCGAAGGCAAACTTGGATCAAAGCGCACCGTTTAACATCGCGCTCCATCCATAGGTCCGTCGTTAAAGAGACTTTTGAACAACAAAAGAAAAAATTATTTAAAAAAATGGACAAGAATGATGCTCAGTGAATACGAACCGAATTGCTTATTCATCTTGCGAGAGCAATCTTCAACTTTCTCTTCAATATTTTCTTCATTGCATCTAAGAAAAACAATAAAACGACCGAGAAAAGCAAAAAAAAAAAAAAAAGCAGAAGAAAATAGCGGCGATGAAAGAAAAACCCTAGCGCTCCGCCATTTCTGCCATATCTTCTGAAGCGGAAACAATCACAAGAACTTGATAAAATATATATAGAAGCACTTTAAGATCTATAAATGCATCTTAGCCGTCGGGGATTTTAATTTACCCTATTGGGCCTGGACTGGGCCTATGCAAGAGTTACGGCCCAGATCTTAGACCCTGAACTGATTGGGGAACGCTGGTTGTGGTTAGTGACAAAACGTGGCATCCCACCGTGAAAATAACAAACACACGTTGTTTACAATTGAAGAAAAATATTAATAAAAATTCTGAGGTTTTAAGTCTCATTTATTTTACTTATTTAAATTTTATTATAATAAAAAATTTTTAAAAATAATTATATTTAATTTTTTTATTATAATAAAATACTTTTATATAAAATTATATTTAAATTTGAGTTAAAATTTCATCTTAATTAAAATTAAAAATTTAAATTTTTTAATTTAAATTCTAACGTCATTTTATGTCAGAATTTTTTTATTATAATAAAAAAATTAAATTAAATTTTTTATAAAATTTTTTTAACTGTGACAGAATTAAAATTGAAAACTCCTTAAATAATTATTTTCCTTGTACCGAAATTCCAATCCCTTCCGGTTCCACCCCTTTTCTTCTCCTCTATTCAGATCTACCAAATTTCAATTTCGTCTCTCACTCTCTCAAATCTGAGAGTTCGATTTTCCTCAAATTCGAAGCTTCGGAGCTTAGGTTTTTGTGTGTGAATATATACATACGCGTATACGTACATATATATTATATATATGTATATTTTCTGGTTGAGAGCATTGTGGGGGTGAGGGTTTTGATTTGGAACGATGTGGAGCACGATCGCTAACCTGAAGGAGAACCTGAATAAGATCGCGCAGGATGTGCACGACGACGAAGACGATGACGACCTCGAGATCTATGGCGCCGTTAATGGAGGTGTTACCTCGCCGGTCTCTGATAGGAGGAATTCTCACGGGTTCGCACATTCCATGTCGGTCTCGCGATCACCGCTCGCCAACGGCATCGATTCCGCCAACAATCCCGAGGTACGGCATTGGCAGGTTTTCTTGGTAATTTGGTTCGAATTTTTGTATTCTTCCGACATCCGCGAAAAATTCGTTTGTCTGCGATTTGAATTCTGTGATTTAGTTGTCGGTGTTATAGGATTTTGTTCAGATTTAGGAATTGAGGTGTTTCTTCATTTTGAAATTGAGTTCTTAGTGCTTGAGCATCCCATCATGGATTGTGAATTTGAATTGCAGACTGGTTGAGTCTGTTTGATGCAGTGTTAATTTTCAATGAATTTGCGATACCAAATGCTTCTACGCGAGTTACGTGTGAAGTTCATGTATATAATTGGTTTGAAATACGATCGAATGCTTTGCAAATCCTTGTGCCGGAGATGAAAAAGTTGCTTGTCATCCTAGAGTTTTCGGCTGTGCTTCTAGGTTTTTGTGTGTAATATTGCTTAACCAATAGTTTTTCAGCTGTGCTACGATGATTTTGTATTTGATTTTTCTTACAATTTTGTTGCTTGAAGAATAGATCTGAAGCTATCTTTTGCTTGAGCTGTTTTTTAAAAATGACCTTAATAGAAAGCTTTATTTGTAAAATAACTTTTCAAAAATTTTAATTTGTAAAATGACTTAGGAACGACCCCAACGCAATCCATTTTATACTCCGCCCAACCGAGTGGGTCGTTTAGAAATGAAAAAGGTCATTTTACTAAATTTGCTTTCTAAGATTGTCTTTTTGACAAACTTCTCGCTAGGATATCTATGACTGTGTTGTGGATATTCTGCTTTAAATACTGAGATTTCTTATGCATGCCTTTTGTTTTACTCATCCAAAAGAACTACTTCCGATTTTCACTTATAGTGTTCAGTTACATTCTGAGTATGCTTCTAACTGTAAAGTATATAAATAAAGAACTATAATTTTTATTTCTAATAATTATTTTTTGAAAGAAACATATAGTTTTTAGAGGACATGCATGCGGGACTTTCGTTCAAAGTATTGTTATAATGGCATCAAGCAATACCATTGTGAATGGATCTTATTCTTTGGTTATTAATAACGCTTGTGGGAGGAAGGTTTTTGTTATAAATGAATTGTTTGAGTTGACCAACAAGGTCTTCCATTGTGACAAGGATGATTTTGAGGTTGAGCTTCATGGTTTCGTTGCCCTTAAAGTGATTCTCAATTTTAGCTCCAAACAAAAGTGTGAAGTTGAAAAGATAAAGGTAATAAGAACATTTGAAGCTAGTTCTGTACGAATCATTCCGGTCGACGTTCCAAGATCCAACCTCATCAAGATTGGAAGGAAGTGGAGTCACACGGTTGTGATTACTTAACACCTGAGGACAAGGTGTTTCTTTAGGGCGGGGGTAATGTTAAGAACCTAATATTTAGAAGTCTTTTTTAATAATCTTAATAGTAGTATGAATAGGGGTTTAGTTGTTAGGGAGAAGGAGGAGATTTGTAGGGAGTGTCTAGTGTTGTGCATTATCTTGGAGGTCGGGGGTCTTCGAAACTGCTCATCTATTATGTAATTTTTCATTTTTAGTGTTGTTAATGAAGCTCAGATTTTCGGATTCCTAATAGGAACCTAATATTTAGAAGTCTTTTTTAACAGTCTTAATAGTAGTAATAAAGGGTTTAGTTTCTAGGGAGAGGGAGGAGGAGATTTGTAGAGAGTGTCTAGTGTTGTGCACTATCTTAGAGGTCGGGGGTCCTCGAAACCGCCTATAATTTTCCATTTTTAGTGTTGTTAATGAAGCTCAGAACAATGGTATCAAAGCACCGATCCATGTCGCCTAAACCGGCAGATTCGGAGAGGGTGACCACCGTGGAGAAGGGATTGGTGGTGGTTCAGGAGGTGGTCCACGAGGTGGTGGCGGAGAGCCTGCCACAGATTTGGGGGAAGGTGGCTGGTTTGAGAGCGAGTATGGAGGGACTTCAGGGACAGCTGGGGAAAGTTAGGACGTAGATGTGTGATTTGCAGGCGGCCCTCCGGCGAATGGAGGCGATGTTGGTGGCGCAGCCGATACTGGAAAGGGCCGACGGAGTTTGCGACGGCGAGCGGCGGAATGGAGAGCAGCAGCACCGCGATTTTCCGGGTGAAGAGATTGCGGATCGCGATGACCCAGGCGGAGTGGAGGAAGATTTCCGGCACGATCGTCGTCGGGGGGCGCCGATTCGCGAAGGCGCGAGAGGGAGAACGATCGCCGGAGAGACGTGGGTCTCATGGAGGAGCGCGAGTTTCGTCGTGATCTGGGGTTGGGTGATTCGGATCTGCAGCGCGAGGGCTTGTTCGACGGCTGGAGGAGGGCAGAAGGAGGTCGCGACCATCGGGAGAGGGCGGCGGAGCTTGGTCGACAACAAGATTCGGAGTGGGAGCCGGAGTTAGAGGAGGAGACTCAGGAGAGGCTTGCTCCGGCTCTGGGATGACATGGGTACCTTCAGAACAGGGAACCCAACCCTAATTCGGTCGTGGTTGGGGCTGATTCCGACCCGGTTTGGACCGGGCCTTGCGATTCCGGTTCATCTGAGGCTGATTCTGGCCGAATTCGGACTGGGTCACTCGAGTTCGGTTCGATTTGGGAGGATTCTGGTGAAATTAGGGATGGGTCTCAAAATTTCGGCGGCCCTAGGTCTGGGTTTTGCGATTCTTATGTGATCGAGACTGATTCTGATGATGTTAGGGTTGGGCCTCGAACTTACAACAAGATTAGAGCCAATTACAGCCAAATATGGACTGGATCTTCAAGTTTTGGCATGACTGGGGTTAGATCTGGGCGATCTGAGTTGGGTGAGCGAGATTGGGTTTTGCAATCTGATTTGAGAGAGCGAGTTGGGTCTTCTCGATTAGGAGTCAGAACCAATCCAAGGGTTTTGAGTAGGGAGAGGGGAAGGTGGCATGGCACCCTATGGGAGGGCCGAACGGATCAACGATTTCAGCAAATGGATATGGCATTGTTCGCCGGAGAATACCCTGATGGGTGGGTCTTTAGAGCTGAACGATACTTTTTGTTTTATAGAATGACGAACAATGAGAAAATCTAAGCTGCTGAAATGGCTATGAAGGGTGATGCTTTGGCTTGGTATCAATGGTAGGGTGCTCGTTGCCCATTCTACAGTTGGAATGAATTGAAGACTCATCTGCTTAAGCATTTCAGACTGTGATCCGATGAGGCCTTACATGAGAGTTTCTTGGTGAAACGTCAAGAGGATACCATGGCTGACTATAGACGACAATTCAAGGTATTTGCCAAACCTAGGAAAGAGATTTCAAATTCGGTTTTAAAGAGAGTTGTCATTACAAAATTAGAAGTCGATAAAGAGCAAGTGGTAGGTAGTTCAAGTAGGTTGCTTGCAGCTCAAACAACCAATGTTTCAGATCAAATGGATGTTCAAGAGTCTTGACTAGGAAGAATTTTGATGGCAAGGTGGACCAAGGCATTGGAAATGAAGTTGGTTTTCAATCTAGTGCTAGTAATGAGGGGGTTTAAGATATGGGAAATAAGATGTCAATGACATCAAAATTTTTCAAGGATGTTACCTTAGAACCGGAGTTTGTTGCACCAGTAAAAGAAGTCCATTCTTGTATTATAAAAGATGAATTTGATTCTGTTTGCAGCAATTATGGGGCTGTTGACAAAAGAATGGAGAATGTACACTTGCAGCTGCCCTCCATTGTTGATGTTCTGACAAACAGCAAGGTAGCTTTCCCTGACGGGGTGGAACATGTACTGCAACAAGATAACGCTTGTGGGAGGAAGGTTTTTGTTATAAATGAATTGTTTGAGCTGACCAACAAGGTTTTCCATTACGACAAGGATGATTTTGAGGCTGAGCTTCATGGTTTCGCTGCCCTTAAAGTGGTTCTCAATTTTAGCTCCGTGTGAAGTTGAAAAGATAAAGTTAACAAGAACATTTGAAGCAAGTTTTGTACGAATCATTCCGGTTGACGTTCCAAGATCCAACCTCATCAAGATTAGAAGGAAGTGGAGTCATATGGCTGTGATTACTTAACACCTTGAGGACAAGGTGTTTCTTTGGGGCGGGGGTAATGTTAGGAACCTAATATTTAGAAGCATTTTTTAATAGTCTTAATAGTACTATAAATAGGGGGTTTAGTTGCTAGGGAGAGGGAGGAGGAGATTTGTACAGAGTGTCTAGTGTTGTGCACTATCTTGGAGGTCGGGGGTCCTCAAAACCGCCCATCTATCCTGTAATTTTTCATTTTTAGTGTTATTAATGAAGCTCAGATTTTCAGATTCCTAACAGCTTCTAACTGTAAAGTATATAAATAAAGAACTATAATTTTTGTTTCTAATAATAATTTTATGAAAGAAACATATAGTTTTTAGAGGACATGCATGCGGGACTTTCGTTCAAAGTATTGTTATAATGGCATCAAGCAATACCATTGTGAATGGATCTTATTCTCTGGTTATTATGCTTAGGCCGTGTTTAGAATTGATCCCGTTTTTGTTTTTCATGTTTTTCGAGAAAGAAAAAATGAAAATGTTTTCAAAACGGCGTTTGGCGCAGTAAAGACAAAAAACGGAAATGAAAACGATTTTTTGGTTTAGTGTAAAATGAGAGAGAAATGAAAAACGACTTTTAGTCATTTTCCATTTTTTGTTTTCGTTTTCTCCTCTCTCGAACAGGGAGAGAGAAAGAGAGACATTAATGGGTTTTTTTACACTGAAAATAATCTCTTAATAAAACTACCAAACGCATTTTCAAAAATGATTTTTATCTAAGATTGAAAATGATTTCATTTTCATTTTCATACAAAAAACAAAATCATTTTGGAACGAGTTCCAAACGCGCCCTTAATTTTTCTTTTACCAGCAGCTGCAATTAACTTGTTTTGGCAATATGTGCATTTTAGTGAATTCTAGTCCTCGTTAACTTTCTTGTTTCTTTTAGATTGAGCAGTACAAAGCAGAGGTCAAGAGGCTTCAGGAATCAGAGGCAGAAATTAAAGCATTGTCAATAAATTATGCAGCTTTGTTAAAGGAAAAGGAGGTAGTGCTATTATCGATTATTTATTTACATATCTATTTTTGTGGGGGTGGGCGGGCCGATCAGGGGTGGGGGATGTGGTCTGGCGTTCCTTTGACAATTACCTTGTCAATACCTTGCCTTTGACAGGATCAAATTTCCAGATTGAATAAAGAAAATGGCTCATTGAAAAACAATTTGGAAGCAACTACTGCAGCTCTAAACGTGTCAAGAAATGGAACCAACGTGCCAAAGGTAGTTCTTAATCTCCAAACTGATCTGACACGGGAATTGAACTTATTGTCATATTTTCTATTTCTCTTCTTGAAACCATAAGGCATGAATTATCTAATCAATGATTTAGTAGTTGAGTTAATGTGGAATTTTTTTCGCAGGGAAGTGGTGATGTGTCACCCAACCGGCAACATAAACTCACAACTCAAGCAAAAAACAGATATTTTGGAAAAGAAATACATAATGGTGTTGTCTCTAAACAGGATGGAATGAGTAATGGAATTACACATGCTGTTCAACACGATGCCATTCATAGTAAGGTGGAATCAAAATACTCAAATTTTCAGGGGAAAGAAAGGGTAATGCACCTTGTATTCTAGTTATTTTTTAATTTTTGTTGTAGATAAAGTGATAAACACTATTAGCTTTTTTTTTTCAGTTTTATTAATATGTCCGCCTTACAAATAATCGTGTCCCACTTAAAGCATCTCGACTTGTCATTGTTCTATTTTTGCATTTTTTATTGATGAATAAACTTGACAACAGATGTATGAATGCCTCTAGGAGTATGCAGATTCGCTAGAAACGAATAATAGGTCCTCGGCTGCAGTTCAGGGGACCGGTGAGATCAGGCAATTGCGGATGGAACTTGAGAAGGAGCGTGATCTTCTTAGAAATATACAGTTGAAATTAGAAGGTAGCTATCTTTCATTTGAAGATTCAGAAGTGGATTACAATATGGTTATGTTGTCATCTTAATTTTTATGCGTTCTTTTTCCTCCCTCAATTTCAGGAGAACAAAAGCTTAACTCCTCTCTCCGAGAGGAGCTCAAATCGCTTAAAACAGAAAAAGATAAGGTGAGTTTGAAATTGGTGTGCAGTTACTAATTGACTTGTTGTATTGATTGAACAAAATCAGATAAATATACCCAAATAAGAAATGAAAATAAATTGAAGGTATTTTACAGATTGCTGCGTGCCTAATTTCATCGTCATATTTTTATTCTGTTAACAGACCTCCACTGACATGAGCAAAATACATGCTGAGTTGAATGAGAAAATATCCGCAGTAAGAAGATTACAAATGGAGCTGAGTAGAAGGGAGGATGAAGGTGATGACATTGTTGAGAATTTGAAGAAATCTATTGCGTCCCTGGAAAGGGAAAATGCGAGCCTGAAGGTTGGAAGCATTATCCTCAATTGCAAAATTAAAATAAAAAAAAAAAGTCAATTCATTTACAATTTTGGGTCCTGGATCCATTATAATATGACCTCAATTTCCAGATGGAGAAGAATGAACTGAAGGCAGCTATGGACAGGATTGGAACAGACAAAAAATCATCGGTTGTTGCAGAGACTGTGACCAAACATCCAAATAATCTGAATGAGGTAATATTTTTACAGATCTAGTCTCCATACAGTCTAAACGAGTGTGTGTGTGTGTGTTGTCAAAATTCTTGCTCAGTGATGTCAAGTAAATTCTTTTCTTATTTTGTTGTTACACTAAGTCCAAATGTCATCTGATCATGTTTATTGTTCTTGGCAGAAGGTAGAGCCATCTGCAAGTTTTCCCGGAAGGGAAGAAATGGAGTTGTCTTTGCAAAAATTGGATAAAGAGATAAAGGAAACGCAGCATGAAAGGGACAAAGCATTACAAGAGTTGACCCGTCTTAAACAGCATTTATTAGAAAAGGTTGTCTGTCCTTAAAAGTGTTCAATGCAAAAATCTTTTCTTGCTATCTGGACCCTTTTCTTACTAAATGTGAAAGATTACATGTACCCTATGTATCTCAGAATTCACAATGGTTCTGCTGTATTATCTTTTAGGAATCTGAAGAGTCTGAAAAAATGGATGAAGATAGTAAAATCATTGAAGAACTACGTGAAACTAATGAGCGTCAAAGGACACAAATATTATATTTGGAGAAAGCTCTGAAGCAGGCAGTTGCAAATCAAGAGGAAGTCAAGATGATTGGGAACAATGAAGTTCAGAAATTGAAGGAAGTAATTGGCGACCTTAATAAAAGGCTTGCAAACTCTACGAACACAATAGATGCCAAAAACGTTGAACTTCTAAATCTTCAAACTGCTCTTGGTCAGTATTATGCTGAAATTGAAGCCAAGGTAAACAAATGAAAGCTTGTTTCTTTTCCTCGTATGATTCGGAGATAGGCTGTTGGCATATGTTTGGTACCTTTGCAATTACGGCTTTTGATGCTAGTATAAGTAACTAAGTTTTGTTTTTATAGGAACATCTGGAAGGAGATTTGGCTCGGGCAAGAGAAGAATCATCCAAGCTCTCTGAGCTACTGAAAGTACTGCACTTATCCTTGTGGTATCAAATATGTTTTCTATTTTGTTTGATTACACGTACAAGTCAATTATATTTCTGTTTGAGGTACCTGACTTGCGTGTATACTTTGGTACTGCAATAACTGATTGTGTATATAATTTCTTTTTCAATAAGTGCAGTACTTGTTTAAGTAGACATTCTTTATAATGTTCTGCTAATTTAATGCAGTTTTATGTTTCCATTGAGACTAATTTTTTTGAACTAAGCCAAGTGCACTTAACTATCTTTGCCCTATGTTAGATATGCTTCTAGTTCTAAGTTCTCTAAACTTATCATATTCCATTGTTAAGATATTAAGCTTCTATGATATCACCAGAATGCAGATTATCAGGCAGACGTATTAAAAAAGGAAAAGGAGGAAATATTGTTTAAGCTTTTGCAAGCTGAAAGGACCGCAACAGATTGGAAGAGCAGAGTAAATAAACTTGAGGAAGATAATGCAAAACTGCGCCGCGCTCTTGAGCAGAGCATGACTAGGCTTAATAGGATGTCAATGGATTCAGATTATCTTGTTGACAGGTTGGATTTTCTAAATTTTTACTTTTCTTGTTATTCTACAATTTTATTTGCTGCGACTCATGTTCATTCCATATTCTTCTTTCTGTCAACAGAAAAAAAAAAAAAAAAAAGAAAGAAAGAAGGAAGGAAGATGATACTTTTCTGGGTTTTCTACTACTCCAATTGAATATGGCATTCACAAGTGTTATTTTTGTTTTAATGCTGCTTTGAACTTCATCAGATTTATTTTCTTTTTCTTTTTAACTAATTTCATTGCACTTTTAGTAATAATTCATATATTTTTGGCAGACGTATTGTGATCAAATTACTGGTTACCTACTTCCAGAGGAACCACAATAAGGAGGTATGATATCTCTAAGACTTAATACTTATTGTTTCAGGACATAAGACTGAATGGAAATCCTCGGATAGATGCTGCTAGTCTCTCTTTAATGATTGAGGCTGGTTCCTTTGAATTTTTTCCCCCTACAGTGAGGTTCATGTGGTTTATTTTGTGTATGGGGGTTTCTAGGTTTTGGATCTTATGGTTCGAATGCTGGGATTCTCTGAGGAAGATAAACAGAGAATAGGTGTTGCTCAACAGCAAGGTGCAGGAAAAGGTGTCGTTCGAGGAGTTTTGGGTCTACCTGGCCGCCTGGTCGGTGGCATTTTGGGAGGAAGTTCTGGCCAACTACCCGCAAATGCAGCAATGGATAACCAGGTATTGAAATTATCACCCCATACGTAAGATCACCCGGGCTGCCCTACGATGACCACTAAAAATTGCTTCTGCTTCGTAGAATTTACTTAATATTTTTTACTTTAAGCATCTGTTCCTTCTGTTCACAGTCAACGGCAATATTGTTTGTCTTACGTATCTGTCGTTTACAGTCATTTGCAGATCTGTGGGTTGATTTTCTTCTCAAGGAAGGTGAAGAAAGAGAGAGAAGGGAAGCCATGGATGCTTCTGGCAAGGACATGGATGAGTTGCATAAAACTCCAAATATTGCAAATGCTGCTCCACCTTTGGCCGACCCTAAAACGTCGTCTGGTTTATCAAGAACAACTCTATCTCCAAGCCAGAACTCAAGTCCTTTTCCCTTTCGAGGTAATGTTGGCCAATCCGATCATTCTGATTCCGAGTTCTCAACAGTTCCTCTCACGTCGTCAGATAGCAATTTTAATAGCTCAAGACTGCTTCAAAAATATTGAATATATTCTGCATAATGTAATTAATCAAAGGTATAGATTCTTATGTGTTGATGTTGTAGCCATGCAATTCTTGTTCATTTAATTCTTTCGCGTAAATGAGTTTATTGCACAGTTCCCTGGTACTTGTTTGAGTAGCCTAATTATAACTGTCGCATTTAAAGAGGGACTTTTAATGAATATAATATAAACATGGAAGAGTTGATGTTGTTGTTTCATCCTCCCTTTTTTTTCCATCTTTTTTCCTTTTTTCCTTTTTTTTTATTTTTTATTTTTATTTTTAAGAGAGTGGAGGGATTAAAGGCCATATCTCCACCCCCAACCAACCCACTCCCCCAACCCAAACCAAAAAAAAAAAAAGAAAAAAAGAAAGGTTTTTGTAACTCAGCCATGTCTCAATGCTTGAGGTGATATTACTTATATTTCGTTTATTTTACCGATTTGAGTTTTTAGTTTAAGTTTTTATAGTAAAAAACTCTCAGAAAATGTCACATCTAATTTTTTCTGCTACAGTGAAAAGTTCTCAGAAAATGTCACATTTCAGCTCGAATTGAAAACTCGAATCCGCAAAGTGAACGATGCCTTAGGCCTCGTTCATTTCACCGATTTGAGTTTTTAGTTTTAGGTTTCTACAGTAAAAAGCTCTCAGAAAATATCACATTTAATTTTTTCTACTACAGTGAAAAGCTCTTAGAAAATGTCATATCTCAGCTCGAATTGAAAACTCAAATCTGTGAAGTGAACGAGACATTAATTCTCTTACAATTCGAGTTTCTTAAATTGCAACTTGCGATAACTAGTAACTTTGAATTTCATGATGCACTTTTTCCACATCTGTAGTATATGCAAATATGTCAGGCCTCGGTACTATTTGAATTTTGTGATCTCATGCAATTGGTATGCATTTTCTTTTATATATATGGTTGAAACATTAGCATCTTTACATGTATAGTTTGATGCATAAGCTTATGTTAACTTGGAAGGCAGCTTATGTGGCTTGGGCCTCGAAGAAGTGTCTGAATCTGATTGGTTCATTGGGTGCGTTCACCTATTTGTGACGGAATCTTTATACTAAGGTCTCGTTTATTTTACTGATTCGAGTTTTCAATTTCAGTTTTGCCACAGTTAAAAGCTTTCACAAAAAGTCACTTCTAACTTTTTCTGCTACAGTTAAAAGCTCTCACATAAAGTTACATCTCAGTTTAAATTAAAAACTCGAATCAATGAACTGAACGAGGTCTAAATTTTTGAGTCTAGTATTGCGTGGTGTTTAAAGTGTTTATTGTGTCTCTCCTAGTAGTTGCAACTTTAGGGAGAAATGAATTATCAAAAAAGAAAGAAAAAACTTTTAGGGAGAAATGATTGCATCACTTCCATATTTAGAGTAAGAGGTCTTAAACATGATTTCAAATGGTTCCGTAATAAATAAAATAATTTTCAAATTAAGGTATGGTATTTAGATCTTTATGTAATTAACCCCTAAATTAAACACCACTATCCTTTCAACACCATTAACCTCTCAAGTTCCAATGGCTGCACCTTGGAGGAACATTTTACGATAGGAGAATGATGCTGAAGCGTAATTGAACTTGGAGAGCGACCTGCATGGCTTGGGCATCGAAGAAGTCCGGAGCCTGTTCGCTGGGTGTGCCCAAGATTTCTTAAGGGCCTACTCGGAGTAAGGTAAGGGTCTAAACAGGATGGCGTTTAAAGATTCTTTTAATTTACAAAATGACTTCAAACTAACCTCCTGCTTGATTGCGTGGGATACCTGGCGTAAAAAGACTTCTTAAGTTGTATCTTTAGATTGTTCATTCTCTTAGTTTTATGCATGATTTGAGTTACTATATTAAAGAGATCTATATATTTATATATTGAAAATAAAAACACAGATCTTTATATTCCTTCATTAGATGGCTATTTTACAACTCATTAACTGACATGGGATGAGTAAGCGCTCAATGGTAGATTAAGCGAAAGCAAGAATGGTGCTTGCTCATTTTAAAAACCTAAGGGCATATTCATTTGCCCCAACTTACTCAAGAAAGGCCCACTTGAGTAAGGAAATTGGCCCAAGTTCACGTTCGGTGTTTGAGAACTTGAATTCTAACTCGGAAATGAATTCGAGTTACAACCCATTTCTGAGTTGCACTCTCCCCTGCGATTCAAGTTACTTCTCTACACTTCTACAGTGCATATTCTGAGATCTGCTTCTTCCTACACTGCCGTTTCACGTGGTTCTCCTGTAACCGATATTCTCCGAAATTCTTCTCGCTTATCGTTCGACCAACAGTCACGATCTACTCCTTCAACGTTATACCATCGATTTATGAGAGCTGTGCGTTGTTGAATCACTATTTCCCCCAATCTCAGATTTCAACCCTAGCCCACCATTTCGGTTCCCATCTGCATCTTTTGTGTCCCCCTTCCCCCACCATTGTCATCGTTCTTGTTTCCCCTTCAAAATGGGGAAATTTGTGGGGACTCCGTTGGTTCGGCGACTTCAGTGGGTGAACATCGTACTTCGATGTAGAGTCAACAGTGTGCGCCGTAAAGCTCTCCAGCCGAGACGTCAAACCTACTTCCCCTACCTCTGTCGTCACCGGTACCTCAGACTTGCTAACCCTTCCTCGCGTTTGGGGAATCTCTAAGGGAATCTAATCTCCTCCTCCATAGGCTCCAATTCGGTAAGTATTTTTCAACTACTTATGTTCAGTTTATGGGAAAAACTCATTTCAGTTTTAGATGATTTTTCGGTCTCTAGTTTGCATTCCGAGCAAACATTTTGGTGAATTCATTATGTTCTCTTAAAACAAACATTGCCATTTCTGGATTTTTTTTGGTGATTTTCAATCTTTATACTTCATCGGAGCACTAATTTTTACCCCTGTTTGTTCAGTTTCTGAAAAAAAAAAACAGAAACTGTTTCTGGATTTTTCAGTTTTTCTGCATTCGTAGAACTAGTATTTTGGTGAATTCACATGGTTTCTGGTGATTTTTCTGGTGAATTCTCAGCCTCTAGACACTCGGCTCACTTGATTTTGGAACCCCATTTTGTTCAGTTTGTGGAAAAAAAAAAAAAAAAACTAGACATTGATCTTCAACCACCCAATAAGGGGGAGGCCTTAAGGAGGACTGGCAAAGTTAGCAAAAATAGAAGACACTTCTCTTTTGATGTCAAATAGAACTTACCCCCAACTTGAGTGCACAGTTCGACATCACAATAAGAGACAGCTTTAACACAGCCTTGTGCCTTTTGCAAGATAATATCAAAAGAAAGTATAGAAGGAAGGAAGGTAGGAAAGCTCTAAGTTCTTGACAGAGCCTTAATGGAAAGAACTATAAGGGGTGGGAATAGCTTTTTTCCCGTGATTGAGGAAGTGGAAAGAGCTAGAGAGTTTTCTCTAGAACTCTGTCTTGGGTGAGAGTTCTTGTAGTAAATGTTTAGCTGCTCAATTAATCATGGTTATGAAAAATGACAAACCGTATTAGTAGTTATTGTTAAGGAAAAAAAAAGTGACTAATATGATCAAGTGCCTGAATGAAGGTGGTGAAATGTGCATTGAGTAGCGAAATGGACGATTTCGCTATCATGAGCTATTCCATATTTCTTTCTCATGGCATGCTGTCAAGACCAATTGTCTATAAACAGACTTCATCGGATCACTAGTATAGAAACGGTTTCTATAATTGCATTCTTAGAACTAGTATTTTGGTAAAAGTTATTGGTAGTTTGTCGGAAAAAAATGTATATGGTTTCTAGTGATTTTTTTGGTGATTTCAGCCTTTAGACACTCGGCTCACTAGTATTTAGGAACCATTTTTTGTTCGGTTTTTGGAAAAAAACCAGACACTGTTTTTGGTGACTCATGCCCCCATTTGCATGGTCGTATGATTTTGTACTTTGTTCTGTTGTAGTTTTGGGAACCATTTGAAGAGGGACGGAAGTGTCTTTTAGAAGAAACCTTTTTAAATCAACTTAAAAGATGGATGAATCAAATTAATCCCTTCGACCCTCTACTATAGTTGTTTAAGTGAGACTTTTGCCATGTGGTCTTTGAACGCCACTTTGCTATACAGGTGTCTAGCACATGTGTATTTTGCTTTGCTTTTACAATCATCAATGGAAAATAAAGTTATATAACTTAGTGAAAAGAAAAAAAAAAAAAGGCAAAGAATAGCTTTCCATTATTGTATTTAGAGGATCTTAAGGATCAACGCAATACACACACACAATATATTAGAGGGGGCGTTGGTCTCTATTCATGAATAATCCAGCATTATTTAGCATAATTGTTTAGCTATACAAACCATTGATGAACATAAAACATGAATCAAACTTTAATGAAAAACCACGAAAAGCAAAAAAGACTCCAAACGAATGACGGGCATGTTCTGTTGTAGGTTGTACTTTGTATTGATATGATTATTGATTATCAATCACTGTGCATTTACTCATTGATACCTGCCGTGTTTTTATATTGCTCATGTGTCTATTTGGAACCCCTGTTGTGCAGTTTCTGGAAAAAAACCCGAAACTGTTTCTGGTTTTTTCAGTTTCTAGATTGCATTTCACCATGGCTATGACGATGTAATTGTATTTAATGACCTAGTTCATTATGTCGAGTGATATTCAATGGTTGGTTAATATTTGGTTGCCGGTTGATCCCATTAGTCTTAGTTGGTATGGTTGATTTAATTCACTTTGAATGCCTTGCTTGAGCATTCTGCTGACGTTAGCTAATACTTTGGTAGCATATTGGTTGCCGATTTATGCATAACCTTATGGCATAATGTTCGTTTGCTTCAGGTTTAAAGTGTATTGCCAACCTACCACTAAGATTAATTGAACATAAACCTTGGTAGCCTAATTGCCCTAGCCTAGGATAATGCTCCATAATAGGACGATGAGGGCCATTACACAAATCTGAGCCTCCTTCCAACATCCGAGCTCATTAAATGAATTTTGTATGCTATGTACATACATATTGCTGCCATATCGGGATTGTCAATACTTAGATGGCTGCGAGAAGGAGAGATAGAGATGTAAATTGGAGCCCAGAAGCTGAAGAGCAACTGCTTAGACGTCTAGGTGAGTTCAATTTATTGAACTCCGCCGGTACCACTCCGAACCGAGAGAAATTCACACAATGGACAACGGAGCTAAGTCACCATTTCAGCGTCCCACTTGGTTGGGATAAAGTTAAACAAAAAACTGCTAGGTTGAAAAAAACGTTCGAAGCAGAGTTCCTACTTCGGACTGCTACTGGCATTGGTTGGGATCCAATTGAGAAGCAACCAACGTGCACCGATCAATATTGGCAACAATTTGTCACTATAAGTTCATCGTTTCTTTTCTTTAATTGTTTTACGCCTTGCTGTCTTACTTTGTCATTGAGGAAAGGGGATTTTCCATATTGTTTGCATTGTCATTATTACTGTATATGCAGAGCCATCCGGAGGTCGAAAGGGCTAGAAGGAAGCCGTTACCGGATTATGATTTGTATTTCTGTGCATTTGTGAATTCACGTGCAACCGGCGTAAATGAGTACGGCCAAGATGAAACCCCTATAACTCCCCCACATCCCCCAGAGCTAATCTCAGGTAGCCCAATTGACATTGATGGCGGGTCCCAACGCTACAATGATACGGGCGATACTTCATATACAGAAATGAGGCATGGTGTAAGCGCTGGTGGTCGAACCCCACATGTTGCGTCACAGTCCCGTTTAAATAATAAATGGTCAGCAAGAAACAGTCAGACACGCGTGCCAAACTTCATGGAGCGTGTAGTGGATCGCCTTGTATCATCTATTGAGGACCACGGTTGTAAGCGTGGTAAAAGTTCTGCCACCCCTCAGTCGGTTGAGAAGGAGACATTCCAGGACAAGTGCATTGATTTCCTTGGAGAGTTGGACATACCTCAGGATCAATATCTTTTCATGTTCAACTATTTGAATGCTCATGCTACACTGCATCGGCCGTTTTTGCGAATGAAGGAGCATCATCGCTTGGCTTGGATCCAACAGACCATGGAGCAACATGCAAATCAGCAAGTGCCGCCTCCACCGCCAACCTTTACGCCTGGATCACAGTATCCCTTTCAGTCTAGCCATCTAATGAACTAGCATTTCTCACACACCTTCCATTCGAGCACCAACACCTTCCAACCGAGCACTAGCAATTTTCAACCATACATGCCACCAAACTTTCTACCATATTCCGGCCGAGATGGAAGAGATAGCGGTTGACGTCCATTATTGCTATTTTTTTTATTTCATTCCTTGCACTCTATGATTCTGAGACATTATTAATACTTGAGTTAGTTTTAGATGCATATTAACATTTGGTCCAATTTTGGGTTATTTGAGGACCACGGGTATTTAGTATGTTTTTAAACATTGTTGGCCTTGTTGTACTTTATTTGCGAACTACGGACATTTATTGTTATTATTTAATGAGTATTTATTATTGACGACATCTAGTAGATGACTAATATTACTTGAACAGGTGATGATCAAATGCTTTATTTTTGCATACTTCTTAAACCCCTAAACTTGTATGTTATTGGTTAGAAACTTTGACAGGTATGGCTCACCATAGGGCCGGCAGCCCAATGGACTATGACGCATCAGACGACGATAGTGATGATCACTATTTCAGGCGTGTTGTCGCAGCTGCCACTTTGTTATGCGTCGGATTTGTGTATAGAGAACCATCACGCCGAAGGCACATTTCTGGTTAGGGAGGTAGGATTAGAGTGGACTACTATCTTAATGGGAGTCCAAAAGTGATTTATGATAAAGTTCGCATGAGTAGTGAGGCTTTTAGACGCCTATCTTCTATCCTTGAGAAAAGGGGATTACTGCAACCGACAGTCAACCTTAATGTTGACGAGCAAGTGTGTATAGAGAACCATCACGCCGAAGGCACATTTCTGGTTAGGGAGGTAGGATTAGAGTGGACTACTATCTTAATGGGAGTCCAAAAGTGATTTATGATAAAGTTCGCATGAGTAGTGAGGCTTTTAGACGCCTATCTTCTATCCTTGAGAAAAGGGGATTACTGCAACCGACAGTCAACCTTAATGTTGACGAGCAAGTGTTCATATTCCTTACAATACTGTGTCAAAACCAAACTAATAGGGAAGCGCAGGACCATTGGCAGCGCTCGGGCTCCACGGTATCGGAGTATTTCTCAAAAGTACTTGAAGCGGTTTGCCAATTAAAAGTAGACTTCATACGGCATCCAGATTTTACTGCCGTCAATCCTCACATAATTGCAGGTGGGAACAAGTATTCGCCGTGGTTCGATGTAAGTTACGAACTTATACATAAATTTTTTTCTCTACTTCATAATTTTAGTTATTTTTTATCTCACAATGAGTTTAACTATATCATTGCATAACAACGTATGTAAGTTTGTTAATTTGAAAAATTGTGTTGGAGCACTATTTGTGATTTTAATTTCAAATATTCCTAAATTTAGAGGATTTAATTTTAATTAGATTTATTTTATTTTTCAGGTTTTTGAAGAAAACAATTGGATTTGGGCTAGTTTACCAAACAAAACTCAAAAGTTGAGCCTAAGAAAAGCCCAAATCGGCCCAAAGCCCATCAGCCCATCGTCCAGCCGAGCCGAGTCGAGAAGCCGCGAACCCATCCCAGCCGCCACGTGTCGTCCTTTGCCGCGCCGCAGGTCCGTGGGACCCAGCTGTCCCCGCGGATACGCGCGCTTGGCGCGCACGCCGTTCCCTCCGCGCGAGTTCTCCTCACGGGCGCGTCAGGCGCGCTTCCTCTTTCTTCCGCGTGGGTCCCGCGTTCCAACGCCCCTCTAGCCAGATCTCGCCACGCGTCCAGTGGGGTCCAGCTGCTCCCCCGCATACGCGCGTTTTGCGCGCACGTTCCTTCTCCGCGCGAGTTCCTCTCCCGCGCGTGTCAAGCATTTCTCCGCGTGGCCCAGTTGTGCAACACTTCTTCTCCCGCGCGTGAATCGTCTGGCGACACGTGTCCCACTCTTCAGAAACGTGATGGTTTTTCTCCTCCGATTAAGCCTTGTAACTTCTTAATTAGGATCCGATTTTTAGCTTTTTAGCATTCTCAAAACTCTATAAATAGGGTCATTGTCAAGGTGATTAAGGGTTGATTTTTTAGAGCTTAAATTCTCACATATTTTCTCTTATTTTCTTGTTCTTATTCTCATACTTTCTTTTTAGAATTTTATGGGAATTATGTGCAAGTTAGGCTAGAGTATTTAGGTGAGGCTAGAGATGATCTTATATGTGTAGTGAACTTATTTGAATTTTTGATTCTTCAATGGTTTGTAAGTTTTATACATTTGAGTAAATAATTTTCTTTTATCATATTTCTTCCTCTTATCAATATATTTTATTGTCAACTTTCATATAAATCTAGTCAAGCTCTTTTTATGTGATTGTTGCATTATATTATATATTGATAGGTATTGTTTTATGAGTAGTCTTTTACTGCATTATTGCCAACGGTATATTGTCGCTCTTAGATTTCTCATAAGATAATTTTTCCTAATTCTAAACGTTAGAATTTTATTTACTCGAATACATTTTTAATTCATATGTTCTTTAAAAAATTTATTTTCCGATTGTTTGTTTGGGATGTGAAACTTTCAATTGAGTCAATTTATGAATCAAAATCCAAATAGGTGAACAAAGCATATGGAGGATTCTCAAAGCCTTACCACTTTTATTTATTGAATTTTCTCCATTTTAAATTGTTCAAAAAATCATCAAAAACACTCATTCATTTTCTTTGGTTGATTGCTTACTTTCCTAACGCTTTTTATTTGTTAATCATTTATTGTTCAATTTAACACTTCCTCGTGGGATCGACCGTTCAAATTGTACTACAATTGACCGCTTGTTTTTGTACACGTTTGGGCGTAATCACATAACAACGTATGTAAGTTTGGTAATTTGAAGGATTGTGTTGGAGCACTAGATGGTACGCACATTCCATGTGTGCCTCCCCGTGAAACGGCCGAACTTTACAGAAATAGAAAGGGATATTTCTCGCTTAATGTGCTTGCAGTTTGCTCATTTGATATGAGATTTACGTACATGCTATCTGGCTGGGAGGGTTCAGCACATGATGTGAGAGTACTTGCGTCCGCGTTAGATCACCCGCGGAAACGATTTCCGATTCCGCGACCAGGTAAGTGGGAAAAACGCCTATATGTACATCTACACGTAATTCAGAAACTGCATCTAGATTATAAGTGTTGATTGTGATTACTTAAATACATGTAGGAAAATTCTACCTCGTCGACTCAGGCTACGCAAACAACGGATGTTTCAAGGCACCATATCGGGGAACAACATACCATTTGCAAGAGTATAGGAATCGACGGGGTAGAGGCTTCCGCAGTGGACGTGAATTGTTCAACTACACGCACTCCTCCCTGCGTAATGTAATCGAAAGAACATTTGGTGTATGGAATGCCATATTTCGTATTTTGAAAACCATTAACCGTTACCCCATTGAAAAGCAAGTTAAGGTTCCGGTTGCATGTGCTATAATTCATAATTTTATCCATATGTACCGTAATGGAGATAGACTATTAGATCAGTACTCACAGGATGGCGTTCCGGTTGCTGACATTGATCTACAGAATGTTGAAGAGGATATCAATGACAATAACAACCACGAAGGACAACCATTGAATAATGAACCGGAACTGGAGATGAATGCGTTAAGGGATGCAAGAGCGCATACAATGTGTGCAGTGTACCGTAATCGTCGTACGGGCTAATAATAGTGTATGGAGAATTGCGATATTAATTATGTATATATTTGTGACTATTTGTGAGACCATTTATAATGGAAACTCATCTTCTAGTAATTTTTTATATGGTATTTTAATTTATTAAATGAAGAAAATGACTACGTTGTTTTTAAATTTATTACTACTTATAGATGATTCAGTTTTATTTGTTCAAATTAAATTACATAAAATCAATTAAATGAAAGAAAAAAAAATTTCAGGATACTATTCACAACTCAAGAATTAGTTGAAACAAACACAAACTCAAGTAAATTCTAATATCAAATTATAACTCAAGTTTACACAACCAAACACAAACTCAAGTTATAACTACAACTTAAGTTATAACTCAAACTCAACTTAAAATCTACACTCAAGTTACATAACTCAAAAACGCCAAAAGAACAGGCCCTAAAGATTCCTTTGCAAGGTTCGTCCACAAAGGGTGAGTAAGGCCTAAAGATCAAGCCGAAATGTGAATATTCATGTACTACTTAATTCATCTCAAGGGATGGAGGTTAGGTTGGCCGAAAAGTGCTTGAAGTGGAGAGGTTTTACATTTTCTTCATTATATTTTGTCCTAATAATGAGATTCTTATTAAGTGAAGCTTAAATAAAATATCGCAATAATTTGAGTTATTAACACTGTTAGTCCTACAACCACGCTAATGGGAACTTTTTTTTTTCCAAAAAAAAAAAAAAAAAAAAAAGAACCCTCAGTTAACACTATGAAAACACTGCAGAAAACATGGCCCTCAAATTCTTAAAATATGGCAATTACAACTCTTCTTATCCACTTCTCATCAAGTTTATAGAATAAATGATTATGCGCAATTCATGTGATCTAATGTAGGAGGGTATTACAATAAAATAATAAAAGTTTATACATTTCAACAAAAATTAAATTAAAAAGAATGCTAAAAACAAAAAAGAAATCATCTGTAAAAAAAAATAAAAAATAAAATCAGCAATCAAATTAGATACACAAACATATCTACAAATCAGAAATTCAAACTACAACTAAGATCATATCTCCACTTCAACAACACAAACACATCTAGGCAACACAATACATAAGCATCTAAGGTTTTGGAGAAAGGCAAAGTAAAGAGCAGACCGGAAAAAATGATAAAAAGTAATCCAGGCTTGCAGAGGGGTACTTGCAATGGGGGTTGCTCGCAGTAGAAGGCTCTGTGCAGATGGAAACATGGCTTCTCTTGGTGGGACAGTCACGAGGAAGATCTAGGCTTGCAACGATACAAATTCGACGAGAATGGAGGTGGGAGCTACGGGGCTGGCTTATAGCATGGGGTCTGACAAAGTTCAACCCCACCAATCCCGACGCCAACCCTCGGGACTTGACGGCCAAGATCCTCCATCATCCTCTCCTCTGTTGGCCAGATCTACTAATTCTTTTTTCAAGCTCCAGCTCATCGAAACACCGGCTAGATCTACTAACTCCGCCCAAGCATCGCTACAAATCCACAAACTCTTGACACTTCACCCCACCACCCCATCAGGCCCATACCTCTGGTATTTCTTCATGCGACAAAGGTTTCTTACATGGAGATGAAATCAAGATGGTGGGTTATTTTGGTCGGTAAAGGTACTATGTTTTCCTGTTTGACTCACAAGCAGAGATTGCTGCCGGTTCATTAGGGCTTGGCTTTTCAATTTTTTTTTTGTTTTTTTCATAGAGATCTTTATGTAAAAAGGAGTACAATTGATTACTACATGTCATGAAACCACAAACGGAAAAACTTTTGACGAAAAGATATGCCTCACGTTTGAATTTTCAGTTTTCATCGGTTTAAAATTTTTAAAAAATATTAAAATATTTAAAAAAAATATAACATCTCAACTCAAATTAAAAACTCACACAAAACAAACAAATTAAAAACTCACACAAAACAAACAAGACTTAAAAACCTTTTTGTTTCATATTATTTAAAACTTAAATTATTAATTATACTACAAAATTTTCCTCTCAAAAAATTTAAATTTTATACATCAGAATCAGAATTAAAAATTATGAATTGTCAACATTTTTTTAAGTAGGAGGAAAGTTTAGCCAAACTAAATTAACTAAAAGAAATATGGGGACCAAGCCCTGATGGTTCTAATAACTCGATTATTTAAGCTATAAAAAAGGGAAAAAAAATCAAAAAACACAAATGGCAAAAAAACTAATCTGAACAGCAACAGCATAGTAACATTATTCCAAAAAAAAAAAAAAAAAACGACTATCATGCCAACATGACTGATCAGTTTGAGTTAGAAACCGAAGCCCTGCCGAAACCTACAAATTTTTGTAAAATCACTCTTACTCGGCAACGTATTCTAGCACAAACAAGCAAAAGCTCGACTCATTTCAGTTTTAACTCTACGGTACAAGCTCTGCCAGTAAAAGCTTTTAGACAAGGAAGAATTGAAGGCCTAGCGTTGACAACCAAACAAGAAAGATTTTTTTTTTCCGGCTTAAATAAAACAAAAGGCTTGAAAACCATTAATGTTCAATATTTAATAGACAATCCATGTACAAGCAACCGTCAATATCCAGTTAATAAACTTAAAACGGATACGAACATGGTTAAGGTGCTTGCTTTCTAAAAGCTACCCTTTCCAAAAGCATAGATAAAATCTACAAATAGGAAGGAGAAAACTAAAGATAACAAAAATCCAAAGGCAAACCAAGCACTCTGAAGAGCAGGGGCGGGCTTCCATGAAAGAAGGCGGTGCATGCGAGTAAGAAAGGGACCTACGTAACAGAGAGATAAAGGTTGAGCATCACAAGCTACAAAACCGAGTTGTTTTTACCAAAATGTCAGGCATCCAGATCCTCTCTCTAAGCCCTCTTCTTGCCCTTCAGCGGACCTTTTGGGATCTTACTCAAAACCTTCTCATCAAAAACTGTATATTGCTTTTTCAACTCGATCAGCGCCTTCTCCGCGAGCGGATCAATCTTATCTTCATACTTCTCATATAGAACAGGCACTGTGTGCAGTAACACCACAGCTGTTTCCCATTGCAGAAGAGCAAAAATTTAGTATGATACCAAATGAAATAGTAAATAGTATGCATCTTTGAAATTGAGTTGTGAGTTTTGGATCATACATATGTAGAACAAAGTCAGGAAGTTGGCCCAGCTCCCAACGATTGATAGGACCCACAAGCCAGCAATGACCTGTTCAATCCGAAACAAGGTTATCAAACTGAACTTGGGAAAAGTAGAAAACCACCAAAGCATAAGTCTAGCAGCAATTTAATGAAATTCTCAATCATTCAAAAAGACAACGAAGTCTGAGCCTGTTAAGATAAAGTATCTTTTACAAGAAGTTGATAGAGACGAACAGCACATACAATAAGAAACTTCTTTAAGTCTCTGCCAGATGCAATAGAACGCAAGGCTGCAAAACCCTGGTTGATTTCGATAGTAAGTGCAGAAACAACTTGAAGAAATGGATCTTCTGGAATGTGAACTTCAGGAATGCGAGGTGGGCTCCTATAATACAATACGAATTAGGCAATTGCAAAAAATAAAATAAAAATAAAAATAAAAAGGTGTGTGAGAGAGAGAGAGCGAGAAAGAAGAAAGTATGGGCATTGGACCACAGAATGAAATTACAATAATATCTTACTTGTGGATGAAAGTATGGGCATTGGACCATAGGAACAAGATTGCAAGAGAAACAATCAAAGTGTAACAGACAAGAGTAAGTAGGTGGTATTCAAGTAATTCAAAAAAGACCCAAGCTCCAGTTACTCCACCAAGAAAACTTGCTGAAATCTTCTTGTTTCTCCACAAAAGCACATCAGCGGCTGCACCAAGCAAGTACCAAAATTGAGAAAACTTTAACAGGGATACAATTATATTAATACCAACAAAATCTGGCTCAAAACAACGAGAAAACTAATGTGTCCTTCTTCTAACTGCATTATTTGAGTCCTAATCCTTAATGCACACAGAAAACTCTATTGCATGTATACCCCTCATTAACCGGAGTTTTCAACAGGAATAATAACAAACAATGTTCAAATGTTCAATAATTAAGAGGAAATAATTCAGTATAAGATTCTAAAATTTATGGACTAAAACTATGAATGAAAACGTTTGTACGTTCTAATTTATAACTTTTCAAATTAAAAATAATGAGAAACAATATTTTCAATAAAATACATCGATGAAACAATGGAGGGCAACTTTATTGCGCTATTCTTTTCAAATGAAAATACGATATAATAACACAATATCCGCATATTCATTTGCTTGATTTACTTGTGAATGAATAAACTTTACGATAAAGAGCATACTAAGTTTCCACTTTTTCTCATAATCCAAACAAAAGTCTGATTATTCTAAAATGATTAAAGCTGATATTCTTCTGTTAGAATCCACTAGTTAATCCCACATAATAGAACAAATAAATCACGAAGGAAAAACATCAGTACGTTAAGCTCCTGAAACCAAAAAAAAAAAATGACATCATTCTCATTTTTTATTTAATTAAATCTTCACGAGAAACAGTAAATTCCTCAATTAACATCATATACGCATTTTCATTTCCTTAAATCTACTTGCGCGGCAATAAATTCCTCAATTAACATCCTATTTAATTTTCTCCTTTTTTCTAAGCATCCAAACATAGTTAAGCCCTCCAAACCAAAAATCTAATAACCTTAAAATCAAAACAGTTAATAATCCAACATTAACATCCAGAAACAATCCACATACACAAAAATACAAAACACGAATAAAATCCACACGAAAAGCCTGTAAATCCTTACGCTTTCCACCGCCGAGAACCTGGTGAACCGGTTTTTCTCTACCGAACAGCCTGAAAATCTTGGCCTTCACAGACGACGGCGACTCGGGCTTCACGGCTTCCGATTCCGATTCCGATTCCGACGACGACGAAGACGAATCATCACCGTGGATCTTCTCAATCACCGAATCCACCGTCGATTTCGCGTTCTCCGACGGCTCCGCCATGATTTCTCCGATCCGATCCACAGAATCACAGAATCACAGAATTTGCGCGAAAATGAAGAATAGTTTGTAGGGTTTTCGGGGCTGAGGCCCCTTTGGGGCGTATATAAAAGGTGCGAAGAGCGAGATTAGATCCGGACCGTTGATCTTGTCCATTAAGTCCGAAGCTAAGGTCAGACTCTGAAGCAGTTACTCGAAATTTGGTTCGGAGACGGCGTTAGGAGTTAACGTCTGATTGGTGATCGCACGTGGAGGAGAGAGAGAGTTGGGCGGTGGAGATTGGGGAAAGTCACCGACCTGTTTGAAAGGCGAGGGGACAAGTGGCGTCAGCTTGTTAAAAAGTCGGGGCAGGCCTGACGGTGAACTGACGGACAGGAAAATGCTGTTTATTTATTTTATTTTCTTTATTTTGGCGTGGTTTATGGGGTCCACAGGTAAGTGGGCTTCACGTCAGGGTTTATGGGTGAAATTTTTATTTGGTGGGACGCTTACTACGGTAGCTATGATGAGGACGTTCCTCAGGGTAAGACCGTAAGTAAGAGAATTTATATTAGTGCTGCTTTGGTTGGAGAGTTCTCATGCGATTTGAACCCAAAAAGCATGACCGTTTGTTTTAAGAATTCTATTTGATTTAAAATTAAAATTTTTAGTTTTATTATAATATATTTTTTTATAAAAAATTTAAATTTTAAAAATCAGAATCATGAATCATATAGTGTGTTTGTTTTTATTTTTAAAAGCGTTTTTCACGTTTTTCGAGAAATAAAAATGAAAACGCTTCACAGATTGTCGTTTGGTGACCCATTTTTTCAAAATCAAAACTAAGAACACCCTTTTCATTTTCTCTTTTTTCTTATGTCCCCCCCCCACACTGTCACGCCCCGAAGTAGGGGTCGGTGACATGGAGCTCGATTAGAGGTTAAACACATTAAAATAAAGGAAATCCCCAGCGAGCCCTACACTCAATTAAAATAAATTACAGGATCTATCCACATGATCTTTCATCATCATACATACATGACATGTAAATAAAACATTACATACATCAATCACAGTCTAGAAATCCAAATATCAGAGTTTACATAATTCTATAAATTCTTACATATATCCAAGAGGATGAACACAATCCTCACTTGATCGAATGGTAGTAAATAATCCAACTACTCCGCACCGCTCCTAGAGTCGCCTGGGAGGGGTTTAATATATACAAAACAATAAAAATGTGAGCGAAAGGCCCAGTAGGATATAATTTGAAATAACTTTATAAATAAATGAATAAATAAATAAGCGAGTAAATAAGTAAGGGTCTGTTTGGTATAAGGATTGAAATCAGGGTGATTTGAGTCTTTAGATTCAGAATCATAATTCATGATTTGAATCATGATTCATGATGATTCGAACCTTTGTTTGGATGTGTGCAAGTATGATTCTGATTCTAACATGAATCATGATTCGAACTAGTGTTTGGTTGTATTGTTTTATGATTTTGAACCATTACAAAAATAATAACCACATTTTGACCCTAAAAATTACGTTACGTGTAATTTTAAAAAATATAATTTGGTATATAAGTAAGAAAATGAAATATTAGAGACAAATAAATGCAAACACACGAAATATTAAGAACGTCAAAAACTTTTGTTTACAATAATGAATACATGAATACACAAATAAATGCAAACACACGAACTTTTGTAAACAAATCCCAACCCATGGCAGCTATCAGAGGCTGAAGTCGGGGAAACATTCAAGAACGTGTTTTCCAGACACACGAGCATAATGGTACATGTCTCTTGTAAATATATATATATATATATATATATGTAATACCTAACGTGTTTATAACATACCTAGCTCAGCAAAATCTATGAAGTTCACAAATGGGATATAGCCATCAAATAACAATTTGCACTCCATCCAGGCATAGGCAATTAAAAAGCTAACAAAGCACAAAATTGGACATGGAAACACCATGAATGCCACCTAAGAGGCCACCAATGAATGACCTACCATTTCAAATTTTACATAAACAGGAGCTATTATAAGTTATAATTGCCTTCTTATCAATCATACCTAAAGCAAACTAAAACGGCACGGGCCTAGTGCAAATTAGCACTACAAATGGACAAGTTGCATCAATATCCGGCATTTTCTCGGGTTTCTAGTATCATCTCATGCTCTTCCTGGAATAAGGTAGACAATATTAAGAACATGTCAATTGAGATGACAAAAAAAAAAGAAAAAAAAACAAGAAAAAAGGTTTTGTATGCATGTTTACATACCGCTAAAGTCAAGACAAAGGAAGTTGCTTCAATGATCGATTTCTCGCTCCGTTCACACTTGTCTTCCACGGCTACCCTTGTATTCTACCCACATTTCATTTGCAAGGCGATCCCTAAAACGACCCATCTCTGTACGACTAACAGTACCTGCTGTTACAACTGGGCCTTCAGGGACATTGTCATCATCGTCATCGTCATCAAATTCATCTTCATTGTTTGGATCTATTTCACTTACAGGTACACCATCCCGGTCGTATTGACTTAGAAGTGGATCCCCCTCATTAACCATGTGGATGAAATTATATAGTATTGCACAGGCAACTGGAATTTTCACTTGTTTATCCATTGGATATGTATTATTAGGCTGCCTTAGGATAGGGAATCTAGCCTTCCAAACTCCAAATGTTCGCTCTATACAATTTCTCAATGATGAGTGTTTGTAGTTAAAAATATCCCTAGGTCCCCGAAATTCACCACTTCTCATTCTGTAATCTGGCAAATGGTAAGTCCGCCCTCTGTACGGAGCGAGAAATCGATCGTTGTTCGCATATGCTGCATCAACAAGATAGTATTTTCCTGTGTAGCATATCCAAATTAGGCTGCAAATTGAAGGTCATTAACAATAAATAGACATAAGGAGAAGTGGTAAGTGTAACCTGGTGGTATACGTTGGAACTTAGACCTAGGATTCTCAAGCGCATCTGTGAGCACTCGAGCATCGTGGGCTGAACCTTCCCAACCGGATAATATGTATGTGAACTTCATATCAAATGAACAGGCTGCCAATATGTTCTGTGAGTTCACACCCTTTTATTTCGATAAGCCGCTGGGTTAGGAACACCAATTGGTGTGCAAGGTACATGAGTACCGTCAAGTGCGCGTACATAGTCCTGACCATTTCAAACAAAAGTTATAAACATAATTATCCATGTATGAGAATATCAATGATATGTAGTTAAAAATAATACGATAAAGAGCAACACAACTTAAGTCGAACCATGTACCATATCTATGACGGTTGGCACGTAGAAATTTAGGCACTTTGTCATAATTTGGGGGCTTAATGAATTCTTCTTCTAATTCACAAATAGCATCTAAAACTTCTGTAAACCTACGTGATATTGTCTCCCCTGAATGTTGCCATGCGTCTTGTGCTTCACGATTACTTTGGCTTTGTGAAATGATTGTTAAGAACACAAATAATTGTTCAGGTACGCTCATGTTATATGAGGGTCGTAGCAACCCTTTATCAGTTAGCATTTCACATAGTATCATAAAATCACGTGGTCCCATACGCACTTTGTTGAACATTGCATTCTCATTGCTGTTTGCTAACAGCTCATTTACCTTGTCTATGCCCCTTAATGCCGAATTGTGCATTAGCCTTCATACAATGTAAGTAGCCAAATAAGCGGTTGCAGTTGTGGCAACGCCTATTGCGGCCTTAAACCTCTGTCGACGCCTTGAAGAGGCCGTTCTATCGCGTTCCTCATTTTTGGACTGCATCCTGTTGGTTCAAAATTTAACACATAGCAACAACATTGTCATTAAATAAAAACCCTCATAGTGACAATATCATCATGGGCATGGTTTCACTCTTGTTCAATGTCTAGAATGAATGTTAATAGAGGTGAGCAGCTGATAGCATTTCATATATAAGCAATTAGAAATAAAAGGCCAAGGTAGAAGCATAATGAACAACGCCTGAAACAGAAAAAAATACATAACCAGATAAAGCAAAGCAACAACAGCCCTCATTTTCCAACCCACATCTGCGGTTTCACTCCATTTCCAGAGCATTAGCAGCCCCCATTTTCCAAATAGCATCTGCCGTGTGCTCCAAACTCATAGCAACAGCAGCCCCTGCAGCAGGCCATAACCCCCCCTGTCGTGTGCTCCAAATTCAGAGCAACAGCAGCCCCTGCTGCAGGCCATAATAGGCATCTCATCATCATCACTGTTTTGGGAAGGAGCATTCTGGTGAGGTTGTGGTTGTTCATCCCCAGCAGCAACATCATCCGTCGGCTCCACATGGGCAACATGGTGATATGCGGCTGAACTAGACGCCATAACTCTTGAAGGAAAATAGCCGCCAAGTACGTCTCATTAAGCTTCCAACCATGTGTGAACAATGTTTTCACTTCACGATGTCTCTAATAAAATTAGAATGAAATTGGTAAGTTTGTTATACTTAGCTACGAACGTGTAACCTCCTAGTATTATCACTAATGGAGGAGCAATGAATCACACATATTACCTTGCAAAGAGATGTCCGTAGTTCCTCCGAGCATGTAAAAGTTTTACTGATAGGATCCCACCCTACTCCAGTATGGTCTTACAACGTTTTATACGTTGAGTAAAGGTTGCCAAGTCGGCGGTGTTTCTCCCTCAAACGTTCACCGTCGGGTACATATCCATCGAAAAAGGTGGCCATCCAAGCAGCCCATTGGTTATAGTCACGATTCCCTGGTAGCTTCCCGTGGTTTATGTCATTGTATTCGTATAGTCGCTCAAGTAGAAACTCCTTTGCTGCAGGACTCCAATACAACGGCCTCTCATCTGGATTTTTCTTAGGCATCTACATACGCATAGGACAGGCAAGAGGAGTCCAATGCATGCATAAACAAGGCATGGTCTTACAACAACAATTTAAGATGCATAACCACCAACAAAACACACCCACGAACATGGAAGACACAAATAATTTTTATTTTCTTGGTGCACTACTAAACATATCTAGTCCAATGCTTGTGCATTCTATGGTTGTATGGCTTTTTCAGTCTGAAAGTTATTTACTTGTTGCACTACACTATTTTATTTCATTTTCTCGTGTACATAATGCCATGAAGGAAGAAAACCTCCTGAGGAGACTTAACAGAGAGGCTGAAGAAATGGCAGCAGTTGAGGCAAAATTAATTTTTCTGATGTCAAAAACTGGTTTCGGAAAAATTTTCACCCAACTCAGCCCACAGAGTCAATTCAGTGTATATTCTAGCTATATCAATTTCATTTAAAAACACACCTATCTATGCTATATTCTGCTGATTCACAGTCACAGAAAGGCCAAATTCGGTGCATATCATTTTCATGCATCTCACAAAAATGTAAGCAAAAAAAAAAAAAAACAGAAATGCTGCCATTCGAACTACCCACATTCCAGGTTTTCAGCTTTGCAGACAAATTGCATCTAAAGTGAGAATGGCATACATTTTCAGTGTTCGAGTCTGACGAAGAGATGAAGGACACCGCAGGCAGAGATCCAAACACGGATGTAGGACTTTTGTAAATTTCCCGACTATTACCTCTTCGGCGAAGGCGATAAATGGCCTTACTTTGGTAGTATCGGTGAAATTGATACCGAATGTGGAGCTTCCGTCGATTGCTCACAATCAGCCCTTTACTTGAAGCATTTCTCATCAACTCGAGAAGAGGAGTCCGCCGTGGGTTTGGCTGGTTACCGGAGATGAGGAGCCCAACGGGAAGAGGAAAAAATTGCCGACAGAAAAGAGAGGAGAAAAGGAAAGGCTGGATACCTGTAAGCACACGCGAGTAAGGCTGGAGATTCTCTGGGCAAGAGGGGAGGCCTCCATGGGTTTGGCTGAGATGCGAAGAGGAGACCGACGGGAAAAAGAGAATTATCGAAAGAAAAGATAGGAGAAAATGCAAAGCCTGGAGACCTGCAAACCCACGTGAGAAAGGCTGGAGATTCTCTGCCCACGAGGGGAGTCCACTGTGGGTTTGCCTGAGATGCGAAGAAGAGAGCGACGGGGAGAGGAGAATTGCCGAAAGAAAAGAGAGGAGAAAATGCAAAGCCTGGACACCTGCAAACCCACGCGAGAAAGGCTGTGGATTTTCTGGCCAAGAGAGAAATGGTCAGTAGAGTGGGTGGGGGGCATTACTCGGGGAAGCAGAAGCACATGGAAATATTGTGTAAACACTGTGCTCTGATTTAGGAACACGCTAAATCAGAGCCAGTCCTGATTTTAAAATCCGGGTTCAAAGTGATCCAGAAAGTACATTTTGACCCAGAGTTAGATGGGTGATTTTGGGCCTCCAAACGTGGATTCTCCCACATGACTCAGAATCATGATCCAGAATACAACTTTCAAACGGGCCCTAAATAAAATATGGCATTCAGTCCCGACACAACAGCCGGAACCTCACATCATTTTTCTCAAAGGAAATATAATTGAAAATCACCGTATTACAGGCATGAGCAAGTAATTTATACTAAGATAAATTGCTTACACAACCACGTGCACAAGCCATATCACCCCCGGGGTTTCGGGTTCTGCCCTTAAGGATGCACTCTCCACATCCTATCTTGGCCATCAACCAGTTTACCGATTCACAAGATCTCTTATCTTAAGAAATCATTCATTAAACTTTATGAAATCGTTTATCAAAATCCCATGAACTACAACAAGTCGTGGGTCCCATGAACTACAACAAGTCATGGGTTCCATGAACTACAACAAGCCATGGTTTTCAAATATTTTTCTTTCGCAAACAATCCCCTTTTCTTTAAAACATTTGAAAGGCCAAAACTCTTTTAAAATCAGGCTCACAAGGAAAAGGGATAGAAATCCTACCTAGTAAATATCAAACCTGTGGCAACCGGTGCACTCTTCCGGCTTCCGCTTCCTTAAGCCACTCAATCTGAGTCCTCAGCTAATACTGATACAAGACATTCTTTAGGATTCAATTCTCATTCCTAAAGTAATTCAATCTCAATTATATCCTTTGATTCCTATTTGTGTGCCATAATTCAATTACCGATTTCACAAACCATTTCATGTTTCAAATCATCATTCCAAGGGTTTTCAATCTCAAAACATGGATTAAATATGCTAATCCATTCATTCTAGGTCCCCAAACAAAGCTAATGTGGGTTCTCCTCCAAATCAGGGGTCAAAACAGCATTTTCAAGCCAAACCCCGTGTACACCGGTTGACCGGTGACAGAGCAGTGCAACACCACCGGTCGACTGATGGTGTGCAATCCGGTCGACCGAACAGGTCGACTGGTTAGGCCAATGCAATCCGGTCGACCGCACAGGTCAACTGATGAAGAAAACCAGTGCGAGAAAACTCACAAAATCAGTTCAAAAACTTGTAAATCCAGTCCCAAATCACAATATCTCAAGGGACAACCACTAGATCCAGGTTCTAGGTACTAAATCAAGTTCAAAGAACCCAAGATCTCCAATTTCTACCATAGTTTTACTCAAAATCCATTTCGAACCAAAAATAAGTTTTTAAATCCAAAAATCAGAGATTCAAGAGAAGTTTTTCAGAAATCTTACCTCAAATCCTTCTCTTGGCGTTGAAAACTCCTTGAAATTTTCCTTTGGTTCAAATTCGGTTTGATTTGAGACAAAAATGGGAAAGAGAGTGAAAGTGAGAATGAGAGAGAGAGTGCACGAGAAGGACAAGGAAAAGGAAGAAAAGAAAAGAAAAGGAAAAAGCAAAAAGAAAAGGAAATGGACAGGTGTCACAAAATTAAAAAGGCAGCCCAGAAATGTGCCGATACACACACTCTTCTGGGTAAAAATGTAAATACTGAGAATATTTAAATACCTTGGAATTATTTAACTCTACACGTCAGAAACATTTATTAATTAATAACCAATTAATTAATTCAGATCAGGCACACTAATAAATTTTAATTAATCTCATTTAGTTCTTCAGGGTGTTACGCCCACACTCTTCTCCGACTGCGCCCCCCACACCCCACT